GCTTTTGATCAAAGTGGAGCGCTGTAGCGAACACTGAGAGCGGTACTGAGGCCGACCCAGTGCCCGCTCCGCAAATGACCTAAACGAGACCAGGCCACCCTCGGCCTCTCCAACACTGACACAACAGCGCTTCTCAAACGGGCGTCAGCGCAGCGGAGAAACGGCGCCTGGTCAGACGGTGAGCTATTTTTCGCGCTGGCTCACCTGGCTCTCGGTAATTACCGTCGGCACCGATAGATGTCACTGATACGCCACAGAGGAATTTCGGTAGACACCGACGGACGATGGCACTCCAAACACGGCCCGGTAGTTTGACATTATTTTGGGACTCGCCGGCGGGGCGGACATCAGATAGGCGGGCGGTAATTATTGGGGCGCCTAAACAGCGATCATCTGCTAGTTAAGTTTCCGCTCGTTAAAAGCATACGCATAGGCTTCCGTCTAAGATATTTCGCGTCGAGATGTGGCCTTATCTCACCTGCGTGTTTTTGTCGACCAGAGACCCATGACGTGCATTTAGCTGTGGAGCAATAGCGAACATAATCGGCATTGCGCGCATCATCCACTAAACTTTACTGACACAAGAAACATGGGCACCACTCTGGCAGTTATTCACCCCGCATATCGCGGGGGCTATTACGGCCAGATAGTCTCCCTCCCGGCGGAGGACGGAATGCCGTGGCGGTGACCACTCGGCCCTGTGGGACGCACCTCTGTGCCGGCCGGGCCCGCACCGCGACGGTCACGGACGGAATGTCGCCCCGGCTCTTATCACGGGGACCGTCGATGGACGGGCTAGTGGATCAGATCAGAGGATCAGATTGAGATCGGAGCTGCTGGTCAGCGCGGCGTCTGACCAGGCGGCAGGGCCGGTCGGCTTCTCGGAGTCGACGGCCGGCCGGCTCCTGACCGGAGCCAGGTGTCCTGGTCGGCTCTCCAGAGTCGCTGGGAGTCCAGTATGAAGTCTGGAGGTCTATCTCGTTACCTAGTGTTGATTGGGTGACGATGTGTCCGTAGCATGACGCTGGAGCCTGGACATGCAGCTGGACATGCGGACGTGTAGATCATACGACAAGCCCTACATGACGGCATGATGGAGTCGTATAAAAGAGGTTGACACTAGTGCGGTGTACCTAACACAACCACTGGAAAAGTGAACACGAACCGTCTACTCTACCACCGGGGATGAATCAGACCTAACTCAACGGAATAATTCGGAATAATTTAGCCGCGCCATTGACTGGCGATAGGACCTTTGGACATATTGATCAGCGCTGGGTGCCGAAGATAGAACAAATCCACGAGTAATGTGCGGCTGATGTGAATGGGGATGAGCTCCATAAAACACAGCGCGGCCGCGGGGGTACAGAGACGACGTTGAGTCAGGATTTGGGGCCGACGGGATTGGCAAAGAGCTAGTGCATGTGAGACAGCCACCGCTGCAATGCCTAAAACCGAGGGAAAGATAAAGTCAACATAAAGTAAGAGCAGAGAAAATCGATATAGAAACACGCAATGTCCGTCAGCGTCTAAAAGTTCGACCCAAATATTCCTCCCAACATGAGGGTTACACATGGACACATGGGCTCGACTGTTCCAGCCATCCAGCCCCTCACGTCTCGGTCTTCTGTCTCCCTGTCTTCCAAAAGGACCATCTGCCGACTCGGCGGTGGGCAGCGCCTCCCTCCATCGTGTCCTACGAGCGTCCATCCGTGTGTGATCATGCGCCAGAAATGTTATCGGCCATCGCCAAAGGAGCCGCCCGTGTCGCCAGGGCGCCTGGAATCACCCGAACGCGTCCCTTCTGTCCGGACCGACCCAGACCGGTCCTGGATGGTCCACACCGGACCATCAGGGACCACCACGGACCATTTGAGACCACCGCGGACCATAGTGGACCACGGCTCGAACCGGGTCACCGGGGCGCCGTCTATCCAGCTCCGCCGTCACCGCGGCGCCTAATGGTCATTTCGGTGTCCACGACTGTGTTGTTGACTTTTTGTTTTGGTCTAATGCAGTTTTAATGTAACGACGGGAGGGCGGGTGGCGGCCCCGGCGGCTCGGCGGCTCACAGGTGATCGTACGTACAGGTGAGATACCGGAGGTCGAGGCCGCCGGCCGGACGCACCTACCGACAGCCGGCCGCCACGGTTTGGCCGGGGACTTTAATGGACCGTTCCCGAGCCATCCCGGCCGATAAAATCTGCAGAGGATGGCCTTATCGAGACGCAGATCGGCTCCGGGATAAGGAGCTTGATTGATATTTCTTTCCGAGTGGCGGCATTAATTTCCTAATTGGCGGCCGTAATGTAAACAGTGAGAGAGCCGCCGTGTGTGTCGGCCGCCGGCCGGCGCTCGTCTTTGTGTGCCCGCCGAACGACATCCATCTTCCCCAGGGAAAGTCCATGAGCGTCAGGCAAATGGTCCTGGCCACTTTCCAGGCGCAGTTCGGAAGGCGCCAGTGACGCGCCCCGTCCGAAAACAGCCAGATGGCAGATTGAGCCCGCTCCAATCGCGGCAGCTGCCCGCCGGGCCAACTATGAGTTATACAGCGCACCTTTTTGCGTCTATTTACGGGCCGTGCTTTCTCAAACAGCGGGGCGTTTTAGTGCCCCCTCTCAACACGGCTCATCACGAGAGGGCCATCACGGCTCGCTCCTCTGATGGCCGGCCAATTTAGCGGGTCGGCCCGGCGCGCGGCGCCGCCCGCTGTTTACCGTATGCTGCAGGTCTCAACAGGCCGCTATTCTTCGCGGCTCTCGGCCGGGCCAATTTCCGCTATCTGGCGGCCGTCGACGCGTCGGAGACGACGCTCGACGCGGAGAAGTTGCGTCGCTATCGGTGCCGACATCGCGCCGGCTGCATAGTGAGCCTGTCAGCCTGGCGGAAAGATAGCCGAGGACAGTGCCGGCCTCCCGGAGAGCCGCGGACGCGCGCAGGAAACGGCAACAATGGCAGGCCGGCCGCACCAAATAAAATGCTCACTGTCTGGTGTGATTTAGAACGCAGACGGAACGCCGCCTGTTTTCCTCGGGGAGAGATACTGTTTTCCGACGGGTTTGTTTGGCGTGTTGTTTTGAAGAGCGAGAATCGTTTTTGCCCCGTCCAGACCGTCGTTCTTAAAAGTTTCATCGGCCGAGAAGTTGGTCGGCTTAAATCAAATGCGACAGGAGTTTGGAGCTATTGGCTGGGGCTGACTGAAGGGGCACATCACTTCCCATTGGTCCGTGGGGGTCAGGGTGGGTTGCAGGGTCGGTGGAGAGCACGGTACATCGGTCAGACGAGTGGGCTCTCCAAACTTGGGACGGCTGGTTAACAAACTCACATAGTCCGCCGGCTGAGAGCGACGGCCGAACTGCACCCGACCATAGCGTGTTTCGCGGCGTGTCAGATCCTATCTGTCAAACTCAACAGGGCCAAATGGTCCTGAAGCGAGCCCTCGGCCGGCTGCCTGCGCGAGTTATGCAGTCAAACTGGTGAAACGGTGGCCGTCAGTCACCATCCGGGCCGCCGCAATTATACTTTCAATTAGATCCGTTCACAGAAAATGTTATAGAGCTATAACAGATGCTGAATTGAACGGCTGAAATGCTGCAAGAATTCTGTCAAAATGTACTTGTTAGGTACAGAGAGCATGGAAGGATCCGGGTATGTAACGACAAACTAGTCACCGACATCAATTAAAGAGTAATTAATAGCTGGATTCCAAGATTCTGATTGACATCAACGTAGTGATAGCGGATATCACATTATGTTGACGTCGATAGGTATAACGAACAACTCTGGCCATGGACAATGGACATTGCCAGATTCCTTAGTGGCGTGTCCAGCTATAATTCAAGATGAATTAATTAAACCGTAATGTGTGTGGATTGCAATGACAGCAACAATATAACAGCAGTCATGAAATACCTGCCACGTTTACACAATGCATTCCATCCCGCTCACTTCTTTCTTCAAAGACCCACAGGTTTCTGTCAGGTTGGTTCACGTTTAGCTCAGAAGTAGCTAGTTTCCTCTTGTCAGTGGTCAGTCAGACCCCCCTCCCCCATCCCCACGGTTCATGACCGCTACTCCAGAGGCCGATCTACCCTGACCTTGGCCGGCCCGCCGTGCCGAGAGCAGAACTTCTAAAGCGTATACGTCCTGCCGGCGACGCAATGGCCGGCGCCAGCCGCTCGCCGAGTCCATATCTATATATTTGGAGGCGACAGAGGCCATTGTGTGTTTAAGCCGCACAGTCGATTTGTATGCAGAAGTGATGGCAGCGCGCTCAGTTGGTTCATTGTTAATGGGTGCATTTAGACCTGACGTAATGCAGATGCAGTCGGTTTAGGGCGTACTGGTGATAATTTTCTCGCGCCCCTAGCGGACCGAGGCCGGCCAAATTTGGCGGAACTGCTGGGCGGCTGCGTGGAATGACTCACGTTTTCGCCGGAACCCTTTGGTGGCCTGATGGCGGCTTTAGTGAATTCTGAGGACATTAGCACCGCCGACTTCGAGACGTGGGACTGTAAACCGGCCATTAAAATGGTGATATATTCGTTCGCTAGAGACTGGTCGACAAGTTGGCTGATCGTGGCGCGGTCTGGGAGTCTGATCTGGCTGTCAAATGCAATCACCCTGTCGTCAGGCCTGTACCGATCGGTCGGTGACGGTACGGCGACGGTCAGAATCGGTCACATGGCTCCTGACGGCTGTGCATATGTGCACCAGTGCCCCTCGGACCTCCTCTGAACCGTTTTAATGTCGACTTTTCGAAAAAGCTCGGTCAGGACAGCTCCCAAGCTTTTTGAGAGCTGCCTGACGACGGACGACTCGGCGCCACCGTCACGAATTAGACTTTCATCGCCGGCTGGTGGTGGGCCCGGCGCGGCGGGTCGGTCGGCCGTGCTGAGGGCTGGGCCCGGGCGGGCCGGCTGCGCGCCGCGCCGACACTAGCGCCGCCTAGCGGGAGCGGCGGTGAGCGGCCGGCGGAGCGTCCGGCCACGCACAGTCGGTCGGCGAGATTCAGAGGGGAGGGTCGCAGCGAACGTCGCGCGTACACCGTGAACACCGGCGTGATCAGGAGAGACTGAGAGACCGTGTCGTGAGGAGAGAGGAAGTGGTGCGTTTCAGAGGACAGACAGGAGTAGCCGGGATACCCGTAAGTACAAACATCGAGCGGAACACTGGATTGTGGAGTGTTGCGGACTTGGCCGTTACGAAGGGGAGACCAGTGAAGTTGGAAAAATCTGATAGGGTATTTTGTGAAACTAAATTATGGCATTCGTTTTAACACATACATACTGTATCGTTATTGAGGAAGTCGTCTAATTCAATTATCCACATTGCACTTGCAAAAAAAAAAACATACCCGGTCTGCCCATTGATGCGTCATAACGACATCGATGTTGATGCAGCACCGATCAAAATTGATACCCAAACTGGAAATGTTATACCCACTGCCTGCCGCCTGGTAGCCGTAGCAGTGGCGTTTTCACATGATACACTTGATTAAAAACTGCTCGATACATTTTCCCGGAATCGCAGTCGGTCCAATTCTGCAAACTATTGCCACCGAATGCGGTCGGCGCGGGGAACATTAGGCTTTATACCAACAGACAATGCCATGTCGACATTGGCGTTCTTTTCGTGTCGGCCACAAACAAGTGGGCTGCACGCGATCGGTATTGCGTGTCGATCAGTCGCCACCGGTCCTGGCACTGGTCGGTCGGGCGGGCGGCGCCGGTTTCCCCTCGACTGCGCTCAACAGCAGCAGGGCGGGATTCTTCCTGGTGGGGCCGGCCTTCGGCAGTCTCCGCATGTCGTGTCCGTTTCACTTTTATCAGAGACCACTGGTGAGCTCCAAGTCTCTGAAGAGTGATATTCAGTCCTGTCAGTCACCCGATAACGCAGTCAGTCGCTTTCACAGCCAGTCAATAACCGTCCTATGTAACCCGCCACACGCAATTCACTCTGTCCTGGACGGCTAGCCCTTCAGTCACTTTGTCAGTCACCCAGTCCACTCAGCCATTTATCCTACAACAGCGTCTGAGTAGGCGAGCTCTCCTCTAGAAAACGAGTCGAGTTCACTGAACTCGAACAAACAGACCTGTCGCCGAGGCCGGTGGGCCAGACACTAAAAGCGTGCCAATGTCTTGTCACGTCCAGTGAAGTGTTCCCTGAGGGGCCGTCACCCGGCGGCATACGGCGCTCGATCCGACCCGACCCCCCTGCCGTCGGCACCGACAGGGCACATCGCCACAAAACGCCAAGGCTTGCATTAATAACGCCGACCCTTAGGCAGATTAGTTTTCGTCGTTAGTTCGGGCTCCGGTACGCTCCGGCTGGCGGCTGTCTAAGTTAGCCCACGGAGGAAAGGAGGAGCTGCGAACTGGGGTGCGATGAGGTTCCGAACAGGTCTCCCGGGACAAAGTATCTTTCGCTCGCACTGCATCGCTCAGGTCGATGGGGTCAAGTTCTTCGAAACTGGTGAAGAGTCTTACTTGAATAGTTCATGTATATGCATAGCGGAAAGTCTCTGCATGTTTGATACTATTAAAACTCTTCCTCGAATCCGATCAAATATGTGTTTTAAACTTTGTTCCTGGCAATTGTCGTGCCACCCATGGGCTAATGAATGGCCAGCTAACTTTGGTGTGCTAATTGTGTGTGCCATGTCGTCCAATTTCGCACCATTGGAGGACGGCGCCATTATCGTTCGTAATTGGCCCTCACAAGGACACTGTTGCAATGTATGGCGGCACCCCACACCACTAGCAGGGGCGCGCCGGTCGAGCTGGGCTGGGGACCGGCACCTCTGTCAGCCGCTACAGGAATGTGCCCTAGCGCGGTACCGACACCCGTCCCCCACTCGACGACACAACCATGCACACAATCAATACCATCAACCGTAAAACTCTCCGGGGAGCTCAAAGGCGCGCGCGTGCCTGCCGCCGTCCGCCCGGGCCAGCGGGTGATTTGACAAGCTCGGGGGCGGCGGGACCCCTTATCGGGGCTGCTGGCGCGGCGCCGGCGCCGACGGAGGGGTTCCACCGACCCCGGGGAAATGGTGCGTGCTCAGAGTAACGCGGCGCCAGTTCGGCCGCCGTCTCCGCCTGCCGGAAGGGCCTGTCCCGTGTCGAGCGGAGCCGAGCCACCGCCGCCGGCGCCAGAGCGCAGCCCGCTGATTTGATTGCACTTTAGAGCCACTTACAATCGACTTCTTGTAGTCGTTTTTATCGCCAGACATGCGAGATGCTCATGAACTTATCCGGTTTAATGTCGTGGAAATGCTGCTTTTTGTGGCTGACATCGTCGAGTTGCAGGCCGTATTTTAGCGGCGGAAGTGTATCGATTCGCCCTATCACTGGCCTGAGTAATGGCGTTGGAGACGGGCCACAGACACGACACGGTCATTCATCAGCCGAGGGCAGCGGCCGGTGCAGCGTCCCCGTGCCGTGACCCCGCCGCCGTGACCTGTCATCCCTGACCCCTGACCTGGGACTGGGTGTGTCACCCTCCTCAGGGAGCGATACTCTAATCGCACAGTGACGTCAGATAGAACAGAGCTCCAAAGTCCAGGCCTGGGCTGCTAAGGATGGTGTGTTTACATTCGGAGGAAATATGATGAGGCTGATCGGAGCTTCATGCAACGGGACTCATGAGGTCTCCTCTCTAGACGGAATCAGATATGCATCGGGCACATATGCTACATCGCTATTCGCTACAAGCTCTGCCCTGGTCACTGTCAATCCTCTAATACGCTCTCAGTTTTTCTCAAACAATGAAGGCTCCCAACTATCTCCCTATCAGACGGGCGGGAGACTCTCCACGCGTCCGGCACGGTCCCGTCTCTCCACCGCCGTCCCGCACCCGGGGCTCTCGGCGTCGCCGCCCCGGGGGATGGTCGGTCGTCGTCAGCAGAGTCGGGCGCGACGGAAGGGTCGCCGCTCTCTGCCCCGCTCCCAGAGGACCGGCGCCGTGTCGATACATGCCAAATTAGATTCCTCATTCTCCTCTTTCTCCTCCAGCTCAGCTGCTGCCACTGCTGCTGCGGACTGGCTGGGCTCTGCCGCGGGTCACCAACCGAGCCATTCTGCAGCGGGTCTGTCCCTGTCCGTTCCCGGACCGTCTCCGGCCCTGCCCTGTTCGTTCCGGGTCCGGCACGTATCGACCGAGCTGTGCGACCGCTCCTCAGTCGAGGAGCTGTTTGTGGTGCGGCCGTCCGCGTCGGTCCAGCCCTCAGGCTTTTGTTGGCTCGGTGGCGGACGCGCTAGAGCCGCCACCGATACGATCGCCATTAGGGCATCTTTACAAGTTCTCTCCAGGTTTGCCTGCGATGGTATCGAGGCTGACGCAGCCCGGTGAGTTGTAGGCCGGCGCGGGGGCGGTTTTTGCGCGGCTGTCTGGCTGGAGACGCAGTGCCACCGTGCGACCACCGTCAGGTGAATCTTCCGTCGGGCGCCCCCGTGAGGCGCCCCTGTCGGGCGCCGCGCGGGGCGCCGTGGGGCGCCCTGCCGAGGAGCTGCCAAAGTACCGTCCTGCCGGGCGGCCAGCGCCGCGCGCCGGGCGTCGCCGCCCAGGGGGGCGGATTAATGGCTCGGTTTTGACCGCCGTCAGTCAGATCTCAGATGGGCAGATAGCGTCGGCGGCCGATCGGCGGAGCGACAGGCCGCTGAGCGCCGCACACCGCCGCCAAGCAGTCGAGCAGCCGAGCCCAGCCTTCGCTGGTTCGTCCGCCGCACGCCAGGGAGCGCGGCGAGCCTCAGCGCTGCCGAGCCGCGGCCGTGCAAACCACCATTTGGGCTGCATTAACCAGGCCTTGAACTCGGGTCAATTCGCGTGTAAACACGGACCTTCCTTGTTCTGACCCGTGCAATTACCTAATTACCGGATATAATTATTGCCGAGTGTTATCGGGGACGGGTTTTTGCGGCGGCACTGCGTTTGGGAGCGGGACGCGTTTGCGGTCAGGTGGCTGAGAACGACAGCTGTTCGAACGGAGTAGCGACGCCGCTGGCTAAAACGACTGCGAACGCTGTCTGTGGAGGCTGCTCTGGCAGAGGGAACAGCTCCGGCGCAGTGACAGGATCGCTCGACGTGGAACAATGCCGACCAGGAAGCCGGCGCGGGTCGCGGAACGGGGGATCGGTTTTTGCCGTGTATAGCTCCGTCGGCCGGTGCCGACTCTAGGAATTCGCCGCACGCCACCGGGGCGGGCCGGCCGTCTCCCGGGCCTGTCCTATCGCAGGGCTGTATCACTACAGGGACAGAGGAGGCCGGCTGTTGACCTTTAGTTCGGACCGGCCGGGCGCGGCCGGGCCCGCCTAAGACAGCCCCGGCGAGCGGCATTGGTCACGGCCAGGAGTTCCCACGGTTAGAGGACGCACGGGCCCGGACCGGTCGGTTCGGCGCGGCTCACAGCCGCCTTATTTGGACTGATATACCGCTGGTGGCGCTTTTTAACGCCGCGGCCGATCGAAGGTGAACATGGCTCACGGAATGACAAACGTTTCAGCTCGCAGCGCAGCGCAATAATCAGTGCAGAAAGTTAGCAAACTTAACGACACATAGCAACCACTTCCCTAAAATAACCAAAGTTTCGAGATGCACCTCGATTCTCTTTTACGTTTGAGGCCTTCACTAACTTTACACCCAGTCCTCACAACTTTGCAAATTAAGTTGGTGAAATCTGATTAGACGGCAGATTTCGGCGTCCGGTGTGACCTTCCCGTTTGGGCCTGTGCTGGCGTTATTTCGATCCCGAGACGGCCCAGTTCCACTGGCGGCAGGCCGGGCGGGTCGTGACCGGCCTTGGCTGACCGCCCTCGCCGCCGGTCGGCCGTGCGTGCCCGGCTCAGAGAGCGGCCGCCGGCGCCTCTCGGCTCATCTCGCCGACGTCCAGTCGCGCCGCGCGCCGCGCCGCGAATGCCAATGTGGCGCGGTGGCGGCCGAGACGGCGCACACCCGCGGCGCGGCGCACGCAACGCCGCCTCGGTGGCACCTTGGCACGCCCCGAACATGACAAATTGGGGCGGATGCTGGAACACCGGGCGGGCCACACCAACCCAATTTCTCCGCTCCTGGCCGTTTGTTCCACCAGCGTCACATAAAACTCGTACGCTCGAAATAACTTCCGATGCGAGTATTTCGCATTACATAACGCTCTCGAGCTTGGACAAGGATCCATATATGAATTCCACGCATGTGATCGGATGTCAATATCATAAGGATACGACTAAAGCCTGCTTGAGCCGGTACTCCTGCTCAGTCATACGCCGCTGACTGTTGAGCCGCGCTCTGAGTTGGCAATGACCGGGCGATAGTGCGCCGGGTCGCGCGTGCTGTGTTTGTGCGCCCAGCCAGTCACCGGCCGTGACCCGCCGCATTCGGCACACGACACGCTGACGTCAGCCCTCGTGCATGGTGCGTGCCTGGCAGAGGGGGCAGGGGGCGGAGGGGGCAGGCGGCTGGGATGGCGCCCTGACGCCAGCTCAGGATGCCAGGAGCCGGGAACGGGTCTGGAGCCGGTCTGGTGCGACCGCCCGGGCCTGGTGGGACCGCCCGGCGCGAGCTGATGTGTACGTGACGCCAGCCGGTTATCTCATCGGCCATAAAGGCGTGGGAATATACATACGGCGCCGCTCTCTGGCGGCTGAGGTCAGGGCGCGCTGACCACAGGCCGGTCTGCTCCGGACGCGCTGCAGATCAAGTCACCACCAGCTCGTCAGTCATTCGAATTTCTCTCTCAGTCAAGCACAGTCTCCCTCCCGTCCGTACCAAGCGCTTGACCTCTGTCCTGCCATTCCGGACCCGCCCGCACTGCATTCTCTCTCGGTCAGCGCCGCACGGTGATGGTGGCGGGTGCGGGGCGGCTCCTGGACCCGAACAGAGGCCGCCCTGTTCCGCTGTCGGCTCTGCTGTCCCACGGCGGGCCGGAGCAGGGTACGGAGGCCGCTCGCCGTGCCCGCTGCTCAGTGCCCTGCCGAGGAGAGGGTGTTTATTTACACTGCCCGGGGTCGGCCGGCAGGGCGGACCGGGGACCGGGCGTCAGCTGGCGACCCTGACCGCCGGCCGCACCTCTGCGCGACACCCCTGTTCCGCTCCGCTGGGGCCCCCACGCAGCTCCCCGCGCCACGACAGACCCCTGATTGCTCCCTTCGACTTCTGTCTCAGTTCTCGTCCGTTCACTACCAGATGGCCACCCAACAACAGGAGCTGGACATAAATTGGGAGGTCTCTCAGTCACCACTTTTGCTTACGTCTGCTTCTCTTCTGTTTGTTTTCGTTTGAAATCGCCTGCCGCCCCGGGAGCTGTAAAAGACCCAGATATATTTACGCGTCGCTTTGTCGGACAAGAACAACACTCGCAGGTCCACCGGTCCAACGCGTTGTTCCTACACGTCCTGTGACACTGTTTGGTCCGCACGGCCCTCGACATTGCCCCACACCGCCAAAAAACCGTCTGACCAGCCCTGATGCAGAGTGCGTGCGATCTCCGGCCGGCGGTGAGTCAGTCGAGCCGACCGGGTGGACGGATGGCCTCTCGGACGGTGGACAGATGACCTTTCGATCGCCACTCGATGCTGCGTGTCTCACTGTCGACCGGCGTCAGGTCGACCTCGTCACCGCGCCGGCGGCCGTCACTCTCTGTCCGACAGACTGTGTGTCGGTCGACCGGCCCGCGACCGGCGCGGCCCGGCGCCGGTTCTTCTACCCCTTGATGGACGCGCCCGGTCGGCGCCCGCCCGACGGTGCCTTTGTCAGTCGGCCCGGTCGACAAGGACCTGTAGCGGACGTGTGTCCCGATGGTCCGCTCCGCCGTGCGGCCGAGGTGGTCCCCCGTCCGCTGGACATTCTCCTGTCCCCAGACAGGTTTTTCTCATGGCGATTGTTTCTCGGCGCGCGTTCCAGTTTCAGCGTGCGTCGGCGGCCGTTCGAACTGAGGCACGCGGTGGGGGGTTGGTGTCCGTTAGGAGGCGGTCGGCCGGTCCGAGACGGCCCCGTGTCCACTCGGTGCGTCACCCGCCGTCCATTTGGCGGTCTCTGACCCGCCATATATCTCCGCCAGCTGGCCGTCGATCGCTGGCCTTTGCCCCTCGCCGCCAGCTCCGACTCACAGGTCTCTCCGGTTCGACCCGAGCTGGACCAGCGGACTGTGATCACCGGCTCGGCTCAGGTAGCCTAGCTGCGTGTCTCTCCGCTCTCCACCGGACCGGGCTGACCGAGCCATGACCTCTGAGACGCTGCTGACCGATCGCCGCAGGCGGTAGGCGGCAGCGCATCGCGTGCGGCCGCAGTCTGGCCCACCCGCCTCCCGAGCCGACCGCGGTGGCCGGGCACCCGGTGTGTCATCAGTGGCGGCCACCACCGCCACCCTCGCCGCCATCACCGCCGCCGCCGCCACCGCGACGTCCAGGTACTTCACCAAACACCCGGCGGGCCGTCATTACACCGAATTAGCGGCCGACAGGTAATCAAAAACAATACCTGAACCAATCACTCGGAAGCGGCCGCACACAAATTACAGCGCGCGACCGAGCGAGAGGCGCCGGCGCGAGTGGTTCCTCCGTGACGCCCCGCTGGCGCCACCTGGGTCCGACTAGCGAGGCACCTTGTTAATATTCAATAAAAATGATGGCAACTATGCGCTCTGAGTGCCCCAGGCCGGGATGGGCGTCTTCGCGCGGCGCCTGCAGACGGTGCCGCGTCATGCGCGCTCTCGGCGCCGCGGAGCCGGGCACGGTCGGAGGGACGGCGGCTGAGAGTGGAGCGAGTCGCGAGCACGGTCCACCGCTCCGCGAGTCAGCCGCGGACAGAGCGCCTTTGTCAGACGGTGATGAGTAGACGGCGGCCGGCGGCGCGGCGGACCGCTCCTTGGGGGCACGGGTGAACAACGAACCGGCGAAACGCGCCCCAGATATGGTCGACGTCCCGCTCTAATTGGATACATAACACCCGGGCTCTCCTAGTTGGTTTCATCAGGGCTCGATATGCTCCACATACGGCCCAAGGCGCTGGGTGAGGTCAATATATCGGATCTCGGAAAAGGCAGGTGAAACACCCCACCGTACTGCGCATCGCCTTTTCGTCTGGGAAAGCAGCGCTCGGCCGTGCTAAGCAAGCACCGTGGGCAGGTGAGAAGAAAAACCGTAGGAAACTGGTGAGAATCTCACGCCATGGTGAGAAGGCGAGACTGTGCGGGGTGTGGACGATCTGGGATCATCCCTTACCGTTCGTCCCGTCTCTCCACCGCGCGCAGTGCCGCCGGATCGCTGTTGCGCCGGCGGCATGGGAGCGGCAGGGCGGCATTATGGCGGCGCGGCTCACCTGGCGACGCACAATAGCGCCGCGCGACGGGGGTCGCGCCGCCGCCGCCCAGCCTTTCAGCGCGCGCGCAGGGAACCGACGCGACGGCGCGAGCGGCCTATTTTCCAACCCCGCCGGCCGGTGCGGGATTCAATGGTCGTAGTTACCTGGAGAAAATTTCGCAGCCTTTCGCCGTCATTTGCCCCGCGGTGTATTTGACCTGCAAGGCAAACTCTGGCTGTGTGCCCGCCGGCCGTCAACCCGCGCCCTCCCGTCGTTTGCGACGGTCTGTCGGTGGTGGGCCGGCTGGCTGGGCGGGATCCATTATCGCCCGTGCGATCAGCGCCGGGGGCGTGTCGGCACGGAGAGCGCCGGTCGGCCAACAATTGGCAAACACGGCGGGCAAACAGTGCCGGCTCGGGCGAGCTGCGGTCGAGCCGATCCGGCGCGGCGCCGCTGTTTGCCGAGCTGTAGCCGAGATGATTCCGGCGGCGACATGGTCTGAGCCGGCGGCTTACAGCTCTGCGACGAGCTGTCAGATTGGCTGTATTGTGACCGAGCGCGGCGCGGAGATGGAGGAGAGCCTCAATGGGATACCGTTACCGGTCGTCGAAATCCGGTCGAGGCTCCTGAGCTGGTTTATATAAGCTATATAGTTGATTATTAGACAAGTATGGTCTCTTGGAAATAGTTTTTATGCTACGTAAAACGGTTCACATGTATAAAACACGTCTAAGTAATTAACTACGATGTCAAATCCCTCAAACCAGCTACCCCTCCCCAGTCCCCACCCATCACTTGTTCGCTTCCTGCACCAATTTTCGTCCTTCTACTCATTCTCTCTTCTCTCCACCCTCTCTCTCCGTCGCCGCATCCCATCACCGCCACCCGTCACCCACCGCGCCGAGAGGAGCGACCAGTATCGATCCTCGCAGCCGATCGTCGCCGCCGTCGCCGCCGCGCCGGAGGAAGCGTTTTTCCTGGACTCGCCTGTTGCCCCGGCGGGCGGCTGACACACCGCTAATTGGCTCGCTGCAGCGACGACTCGACGTGACGTCACGCGTGACACGGTGACGTCACGGGGAGCGTCGCCTGGGATACGAGCGGCGTCGGCGGCGACGTGCGACGGCGGCCGGGCTCTGGCGGGGTGATGTCAGGGGTCGGCAGCGGCAGCGGCGTGTTTTGCAGCCTCTGAGAGCGAGCCGTCCACGCGTGGGTCGACCGCGTGTGAGCGTGTGTATGCACGGAGGCTGGGTGTCGGGTGACGGCGGCCTCGTCGCCAACAGGGTCCGGTTTCGGTGGCTGTGTTGATATTTCGGCGCTCGGCCGCGACTCCCGTGACCGCGGTCTGTGCCGACTCCGCGGCGAGTTTCACCCCAGCCGTGTTCCGTGCCAGTTTACCTTCCTGTGTTTCAGTTTCGACATGGCCGAATTGGGCCCGCTCCCATGTTCTGGAGCGATAAATAACGCGTTCTTTCTCTGTTGCAGCGGCGGGGCGATGTGGCTGTGACGGCTGTGACGTCACGCTCCAAGATGACGTCACCGCTGGCCCGTGTGGCACTGCTGCTGCTGTGGGCAGCGGCGGCGGCGGCGGAGGGGGCGGCGGGCCCGTCTCGGCCCCTGGTGGCTCAGCTCGACCTAGGAGAGGAGACGCGCCGTCTCACACACCTGGTGGTGGACGACGGCCGGCTGTTCGTGGCCGGCGTGAACCGACTGCTGGAGCTCGGCCCCGACCTGCAGGTGGTCTCCCGGGTCATCACCGGTCCGGTGCAGGACGCGCCCGTCTGCCCGGCCTCCGGCTGCCCACCTGAGGTGGCCGCTGAGCCCACAGACAACGTCAACAAACTGCTGCTGGTGGCCGGCGAGCGGCTGCTCAGCTGCGGCTCGGTCCGCCAGGGCGCCTGTCGGTTCCACGACCTGAACAACATCTCACGCTCGGACTTTGTCGACGTGGAGGTGGCGGCCAACGACGAGACTTCGTCGACGGTGGGCTTCCTGGGCCCGCAGAGGTACCAGCGATGGGAGCCGCCCCAGGTGCTCTACGTAGGAGCCACCTTCACCGATGTGGGCCCGTACCGACACGACGTGCCAGCCATCGCCACGCGCCGGCTCGACGACCTGCAGTACGCAGAGTTCTCCTTCTCGCAGCAGTCGCTGATGCGCATCGATGTGAAGTATCGTGATCATTTTCTTGTGCAGTATATGGACGGCTTCAGTGCCGGTGATTTTGTGTACTTTGTGACGGTGCAAAAGAAGTCGCACCTGCCCGGTCAGGACGAGGTGGGCTACGTGTCGCGGATAGCGCGCGCCTGTGTGACGGACCCAAACTATAACAGCTACACAGAGATAACGGTTTCGTGCGGCGCGTATAACCTGGTGCGATCGGCGCATCTGACTTCTGCCGGCGCCGACCTGGCCACGGCGGCCGGCGTGCGGACGGGCGACCCGGTGCTGGTGGCCGTGTTCTCTCCCAGCGACGGCAACACGATGGTGTACCAGAACCGGTCGGCCGTGTGCGTGTTCCCTCTCGCCGAAGTGGACTACAAGTTCAACGAAAACATCCACATGTGCTTCAACGGCACAATGCAGTACCGCAACATGGACTACATATCGGGGAAGATTCTGGACGGCCAGTGTCCCGAGGCCAGGGTGAGTACCGATGCGGAGCCTCCTCCCTTTATTGCCGCTAATTGGCGGTGTCTCTCTCCCACGCGCAATGTGACGTGCCTGGTGGGAGGGCCCAACGGGCGGGGTCCACCAGTTATGGTGTCAGCAGGCCTTCAGTTGCAGCCTGGTTAGGCGTAGGGAGAGTGAGAGTGCACTCCTCATCTCTCCAGGGGGAGGGGAGGTATGTCGGATAATGTGCACCCTGCCCCTCCACCCAGGAACAAAGCAGTGTCTTTTGTCTGCCCGTGCGATGCGCGCCTGGCTGCCTCTTCATGCGCCCGAGGAGGTCACTTAGCGATTGTTGGGACGATCAGGCGGGATTACGCTCTCTCTCGGTGCCGCGGCAAAAACAGGATCACGCTGCCATCGGTCGGCAGCAAACACAAAGCCGGGCTTACCATAACATTTAGCCGGCCCTCGACCACTTCTCTCTGCGTGGCACGCACCGCGCACCGGTCACGGCCGCCGGCCCGCGCCCGCGCGCTCGCGCCATTCCACATCGCGGGCCAGTCCGGGCCGCACATTTGTTTTGAATCCTGCGAGAGCTGCCTCATTCCGACTCGGGTGAGACGGACGGCCGCGCGGCCCGTCTGGCCTAGTGAGGTTGTTTGCGACCCGGCTGTAATTGCCCCCAAAAGAGCCAACTTCGGGAGCTCTTTTGCCGGTCGAAGTCGCGCGCCGGCTCGGCCGTCGGAGCCGCTCCGGAACCACGCCCGCCTCCCGCGGGCCCACCGCACTTTCGGCGCAACTCCGCCCCGCGGCACCGCCGGATCCGAGTTAATATCGCTGCTTTGGCGGAGCTCTTTTCGGACGGAGCGCCTGTCATTTCTGCCGCGCTGATGTAAATGACGTCCTCTTCGCGCCACTGCCGCGCTACCGCCCTAATGCGCCGAATTTGTCACTGGCGCTGCGCGCCGCTCGCCGCACCGGACGGGGTAATGACATGCGAATGCGGCGCGGCGCGGCATAAGTGACGCTCGGGTCGATGGAGGTCGTCAGGGGGTCATTAATAATTACCGCTTATCGCCGGGATGTGGCCGCAGGAGCTGCGGCCGGCTGTAACAGGGCCTGACACAGGTGGCCGCCCCGCCGACCTTTGGTTGTGACACGCCAGGTCACCAGGCGCCCTGGAGCACAGGGTCGACCCCTGGAGCACAGGATCGACCCCTGGATCGACCGACCTGAAGCGCCGCGCCGGTCGCGATGAGACAGATTGCCGCACCAATCTGGCTTCACCAATCACCACGGCCCATCGCTGTCAGGACTGGACGCTGCCGACTGTCAGGCGGACCGTGGCGAGGAGGGCCGAGTGTGATAGACGCCACCGGGCCAGCTGCGACGGGCCCTTTGTCGCTCCGACCGCTCCACACCATCGTCATACGTAACTGTCACCGGCAACCGGCGCTTTCGGCTGTTCCGGACGTCGTTCTCGCCGACACGGCAGCTCGGAGCACCGCTCTGCCGCTGCTGTCGGTGTTACATGGACCGTTCAGCGGGTTCCTCGCTGCCCGCCGGCGTCGCGGCCGGTGTGATCGCCCGGCCCGTGCACGGCGCGCGCGGTCCGTGTCGCGCCGCGCTCCGACACGGCGCTGCGTCCCCCGAGGACCGACATCACTCAGCGATGGCACTGAGACACGGGCCGGCGGCGGTCTGCGGCTGGTCGCAGTCGCTCCCGCAGGTTCGCCGCACCATACACGGCTACCTCCGCTGAGAGATGGCGGCGACACGGCCGCGACGCGCCACATTTGTCCGCCCGCGCTGCGGCTGTCGCGCCGCGCCGGGAGAGTGGTGGAGTGCCGCTGTCATGTATCATGAGTGGCGGCCCGGCGGGGCGCGCCATAGGCCGCGGCGACCCGTCTCTCTCGTCTTTTACCGCGAGGGCTAATCTGTTACACTTGCGTCAACATCATGGCGCCTCAAGTCTCTCTCCGTCTCATCTCTATGCCTCTCATCGTCGCCTTTCATCCATCTTCCTTTCTCATCGTGACCTCACATTTCCTCTTTCTTTGGATTCCAGCGGTCTAATAATCCGCTCACGCTCTTCCCCGTTCCATCTAACTTTCTGAACTTCTTCCAGCTTCTTTCTCCACTTCACCTCCGTGGCCCGCACTTGTTTCGACCGGGCGCCCTAATCGGCCGCAGCACATAATCGTTGGGTGGGGCTAACTGGCGGCCGAATGCGTGCGGCTATAGCGCTGCCGGCCGTTAGCTCAGATTTACTGGTGCGCTGCTGTCGGCGCCAGCGATATAGCGCTCATCCTGCGACCGCGGCAGCGCTCCTGCCGTCCCCCGCTGGCGGCTGCTGCGAACGACAGCCGGCCCGACTCCCGCCGGTACAGAACGACATTCATGGCGCGCTGGCTACAAATACGGCGCGGCACGGCGCGGCGAGGAGCGGCGACACGCCGGTCGCCATGTCGCTACCGCCGGCCACCGTAAATTTCATTTGACGGCTAATCAATGGCTCAGCGGCGGCGCCACTGGGGAGCGCTGCACGTGTGCCGCCGCAAACATTTGCATTTTCATGTCGCGTCGCGGACTGTACGGCGTCGTGGCGAGAGCGCGATGTCGCTGGCGATGTCCCGCGTCGCTCGCTGTGGTGTCGCAGGTCCCTAGGATGAGTCTCGCGGTCGCGGCCGGGCCTATTGCCCCCGCGTGCACCCAAGGCCGCCGGCGCCACATTAGTAAACATCGCGTCGGTCGCGATACTCAGCCGTTGTGACACGCGATTTCTCAACACGGAGCGGCTGCGGGCCACCAGCCGTTCTCCAGATGTAATCAGCCGACCTTTTCATCCATCGCCCAGTGTGGTGCCGCTTGGCCGGACGCTTCCACAACCAGCAATCAGCTCCGGCATCACCAGGCACCAGCCATTATGGATTTGTTTCACACGTCTTACCAGACGCTCCCAACGCTGTGCACTTTCCTTTTCCCTTAGCAGTCCCTCCAGATGAATATTCTCGTCGCTCTCCTCTTTTGAAACATTTTCTGTCTTCTCACGCATGAACGCATCTGAATCATATATGCTTAGCTTATTTCTCTGTATCCTTGTTCATCTATCTACTAATTAAATTTCTGTCCTGCGTGATGCAATCTATGCTGACTACAACAATGGATGATCACGATTTTCGCCCATATGCATCGATCTGTCTCCACCGTCCATAATTTCCTTCCCACTAGACCCTTTCCCACAGACAGTACCTCATTGCTATCGTCTTTCTTGACCGTCTCCTCGCGCCACTTCCTCGGTAGGCTCAGTGGGCGTATACCGTCCCCTGTTCTCGGTCGATCGCCGACGAGGAGGTTTATGCCGTGGCGTGTCGGGCCTGCACTGGACCCCGTATGAGATACGCCGGCGACTCACGAGACTCGCGACCCCACCGGCCTCCAGGGACAATTTACCGTCCCAGGTCGGCGCCGAGGTCGACCCCACTGCGGCGGTACCCGAACCGATTGTCCGCGGGTTCAGATTCGTCCGCGCGAGTGCCGGATTTCTCGCCATGCGGGCGTTTGCCGTGTCGGCTGCGCTGCGCTCGACTGGATCTCAAGTGGGTCGTATGTTGTGCCCCGGCGCAGATCGGAGGCCATTACACCGACAGAATGTTGGCAGTTGTCGACAGCGATCTGAGTGCTATTACTGGCGGACAAAGAATTATAAGTTCGAACCAACTATCGTCGGCCAATGATGTCCAATTCCACTTGGCGATGAGTTTCGGTTGGATTTCCATACGTCGATTGTTGCAGCCGTGGCAGTTCGTTTAACTACTTCGAATTCGTCCCAACTTATGGTCGCCAGCGCGTGTAAGCCTATTCCGGTCGATAGCATCTGAAAAGATTGCCGAGAAGGACGGCGCGCAGTAGTGGCTGGGCGTTGAAGGAGAACGATCGTGCCTGAGGAAGTGCATCCTGAACGAAATTTCACTCGTAAATCCACGATGCAGCGCGATACATATCAATTTCAGTTTGTTCAGCAGGAAAGATGCAACAGCCTCTCTCTGTAGGCATGAAATTGCTCGAAAGTGACTGCCTCGTACCTCATCGTCTCACACTAGCATGTGCCTAATCTCATAAGTTCGGTCGGGCCCAAGAAAGCGTGCAGGCCTTCTTCCTCATTTTTGAACGGGGAAGACCAGACGTTGCGGCCAAATGGTTTGACCTCATTCAGTGACCTAACCATGGTGTGGTGACCTTTATCGGCGGCACCGCTGCGATTTCGGCGCACTGGGACGATAGCGGTTCCTTCGTCTCTGACCCATGAGACACGAGCCCAACACTATACGGAGCTGCCAAGTCACCACGAATGCCAGAAATACCGCCAGCCCGCACAACAATGCCTTACCGTTGTCTCTTTAGTCACACTGAAGAACCTTGTGTGACCTACGCGACCTTTAGTAGACCTCTGGCGACGTGTATTGATTCTCTGGCGGTGGCGTGAACATTGGTATCCTTTTTGCTGCCCGCTGACACGGTGCCTGTCCAAAGTGGGTCCCGTTTGACTCCGTTTGACCCCCGCGGGCTTGTGGTGGTCGAACCGACGACCTGCATCGCGTTGCCACTGCTGACCGTAACGTGTGGTTATTGCAGTGCCAAGAGGCACCGGCGCTGTCATTTAAATACGATATCGCTGTCAGAAGAGAGACGATGGACGTTTTGGTGACGCATTTTTTCGAGACTACCAAAGTCCTACCATCCTACCCCGCAGGCAATCAGTCGAAAAGACGTAGGGACTTTGTGGCGCCTACCGGACCGCTTGGCCAGCTCATAGAGCAGTCCGGTGACGTCGTTGCGGTTCGAGCCGTGCCGATGACGCCGCGGGCGCCGTCCAGCGGTGATGGATGACACCAGTTAGCCGCTGAGGGCGACTGACGCTCGGTCGCCGCCGCGGGCTGTCTCCATTGATCGGCCTTGTCTGTCGAGCCGGGGTGCCCCGACTCAGCGCAGCCTCAGCGCTCAGAGGGAAATTCCCCTCTACTCTGAGGTTAAACGGAAATAACAGACGCCATCTCGCCATCTCGGCTTGGATGCACCTTAATTAAAAGCAAACTTCCGCCTTCTAAGCGCCACGCCAAAGCACATTTTCAAATATGCTTCAAAGGTGGCGTCCAAACTACGTTACGTTCTACTCTACGTCCAAACTACGTTACGTTCTACTCTACATGGCTTGGACAGCCGCAGCGCCCTTCTTCCGGCATTATTTCAACACCCAAACCCAGTGTCTCCCTTGTATTTGGCCCTTTTTCATTGCTCTCCCATCTCTCCCGCGGCTCCTACGACCCGTCTCCAGGGAGCTGGTCCCGCCTCTCCGGCGCCGGCACCGTGCCATCGAGCCCGCTCGTTCGACCTCTTCTCTATGGACCTCAGCTGAACTGTGACAGCTGAGAGGCACCGCCGACCGCCGACCCCGTCACGGAGGGTGCCGCAGGCCAGAAAATGGACCGGGTCACCAGTTGCTCCGACACGTGCCATGATTGGCCCGAGCAGAGATCGATGGACGAGCGAATGATGTCTCCCGGTTTACGTCAAGCCGGAGGAAGCTTACCTACGTCCTACTCCTCTATAACAAAGACATTCTTCCGGTGGAATTCGGTATGGTAGAACGTATAGGTATAGAACGGTTTATCAACGAAATTCTTCAGTACATCTCTGGGTCATCTATGGCTTCTGAGCTTAATGAAAATTCCCATGTTATCAGACGTTCTTCCGTCATGCCGAACACCTTATTTGCCATACATCCAGCATCTGGCCCGGTCGTGGCAGCTCGTGGACCCGGCCTATGATCGCGCACCAAAACTATCCTAATGCCGCGTGACATAGGCGTCGATTTATGTGGCAATATGGCGCGAAAACAACGGTCTCTGGTGCCGGGCGGCTGTGGGCCGGGTGACGCCCTATTTCACACGATCGGCCGTATTTCGCGCGGCGTCTGATGGGGGCAGCCGCTGGCGCCACAGGGGTCGCCAGTAACCGCAAATCATCCACTGAGCGAACGGGCTGTGGGCGGAGTCGGAGCCGCTCTCTGGTGAGGTCGAACGGCAGAGGAAGGCAGCTGTCAGGTCAGGTCAGCAGTCAGGTCAGTGTTCAGGTCTGTGTTCAGGTCAGTGTTCATGTCAGTGTTCAGGTCAGTGGTCAGTTCATTGGTCGTCCTGGCAAGAAGCTATTCCGGTTTTTGTTTGTTGACTGACCACGATGACGAGTCAACTGGCAGCGAGTAAGCACACTTCAGAAAGGAAACGATACGGCCACTCCGTTTAGACATGGGCTAGCTGAAGCTGGACACGGAGAAGGTGAAGACGGTGGAGAACTGAGAGGTGGGCGACGGTGGCGTGGGCCGAAAATGACTGAGTGGGTTGAGCGCGGCCGCCGCGCAGAGCGACCCCCACTGGAGGTCAGCTCCCGTGGGCGGTGACGGGGCCGGGGCGTTGTTCCCCGCCCGTGGATACCCTGGGGGTTGACGATGACCAGACCACAGGAGAGGGTGGCACTGGCCTCGCATTGCTCTCAGGCACTCCGGTGGTTACAGGCGCCATTAGCGCTGAGAGGACCTCACGTGGGAGGGCTGGGCGTGACGAGACACGGTGGCTGCTGAGAGGGAGGGGGTCATCTCATGGCCGTCGCAGCCGGGCGTCCCAACCTAACGACGGTGCTTAGCGGGGCGGCCGCGGCGCTCCAACCCGCCGCCGCCGAGTTATTTCAACGAGACCCATGAGCGGTGCTGATTACCATTGTATCAATGAGCCATCCGGCTGAATGGGTGTATTAATTTGCCATGCCGGGCATCAATATTCATGAGGAGGCGCACATTACGGCCCACTTGAAGCGTCCCAGCGGCGGTAATCGGTCGGCAGGGCGCTGGCTGGGCGCCGGGGCGACGGAGCGCCACCTCGGGCGCATCACGTATCTCATGGGCTCGCCCAAAACGATCGTCGCGCCGCGGCGTTTGACGCTCCCACCACCCGTCACCAATCGTTAGGCCTGGTGGCGGCGACCAGCCAGCGAGCTCGGTCCTGACCTGTGACCTGTCTGTCTCTGAAGGTAGTTATGCCTTAACGGCCCGGTGAGTAGAATTCAACCGACTGGAAGCTCGCTGGAGCTCGCTGGTCGACAGCCGCTAGGCAGACGCCCCCGAGCTGTCACCGCGCCGGTGGAAATGACGCGGTACCGCCCCAGGACTGGCATTGATTGCCGCTGTCGACAATCTAGGTCCGATCTATTTGCATCAGCTTGCCGGCTCGGTTAATCTCAGCGCTGATGATGGCGTCTCGGTCGCGTCTCCGGGCGCGATCGCGCCACAGCGACACTCCGGCAGACAGTCCCGGCAGAGGCGACCGTCAGACCCCCGAGGGTAGCTCCCGGAGCGGGACGAGCGCGTTCCGGGAGCGCCGCAAAGGTTTCCGGCTCGTGTCAGGATTGTCTCCGGCGCGCCGCTTTCATCCCTCGTCACCGGCGGCTGCAGCTCCCGGGAAGCTGACTACGACTGATTATGCAGTGTCGGCTTTCATCAGCGACCGGGAGGATGTAGCCAATAATCTCATCTGCGTTTTAATGGGGCCGACTCGTTAGTCCCTGAGTGAGACGGCCGGCTGGACGCGCGTGGGTTCCGGTCGGGTTGGATCCGCCGCCTCCCGGGAGCTCGCGCCAGCTCCGGCCGGCTTTGTGCGACGCTCTCCGGAGCGGAGATAGTGCTGTCGGCAGCTGAAAGGACACGTGCCGGTTCCAGTAAAACTGCTCGGGCTCGGCCTGGCCGGCCCGGGGGCGGGCCGCGATAGACGCCGGAATTAGCCCCGCCCGCTGACAGATGACCCGCGGACGCCGGGCTGCTCTTGCCTGATTAAAAGTGCGGTGGACACTCCGGTCACTGCTGGTGTCCCTAACTGCATGCGTCGTCCCTGGTAACGCAGTGATGCAAAGGTGATGTGGCCGACCGTCTTGCCGCGCTCTGCTGTGAGTCTTGCCGTCGGTCCGTCGATCCAGACAGGTGCAGTGAGCTCGAGACAGCCCGGAAACCGACGCCGAGACGGCGCGTAAGATTAGCCCCATTTCCGCGAACAGATGTGGTGAATTGGTTCGCTGCCATGGACGTTTCAGTTGCTGAATGGATTCTGCCGAACAATCAGGCGCCTAACCTAGAGTGGAACGTGAGGCGCCTATGCCACCACGGAGCGGCGAAATCCATCGTCATGCTACGGCAGCCGGAACCCGCTCCAGAATTTGGCTGCAGTTGTGCAGAAACAAAGAGTTTGTGGGAGTTGTGTTGCATTTGTGTTGAATCTTAGAAAGGCCAGTGAATGAATTACTTGGAAATTCCAAGCACTTCCTTGCGTCTACTTTAAACTTCGTAGTTTTCAGTCTGAATGAAGCTGTTTTAGCCATTTTCACATCCGCCTCGAAAACTTCTCAGCTTTCATACGCTTCACATATAATCGTGAAGTTAAGAACTACACTTTTTGAACCTTTATTTATCTAACTAATGAATACCTTACCAACTGCGTGTGTTCCTCTCTGACCGTTTCTTTACTCCGTTTCAGGGCTCCGGTCGCAACATCCCGGATTTCTGCGAGGTCGGTCTGAAGATCTCTGGTGTGTCTCCGCTGGAGGGAAGTCCGGCCTTGGAGCTGCCGAACATGGGCGTCACCGGCCTGACCGTCACCACCACCTCGGCACACACGGTCGCCTTCCTCGGCACCAACAGCGGCAACCTCATCAAGGTGAGTCAATCATCCCACTCGCAACATCAACCTTCACCTCAGCAGTCAGCCGCTGAACTAATTACGGCCTCAGTAAACTGGCGACTAAATGTCACGTTGAAAGGCTAGAATGGCGTTCTCGTTGGGCCGGTGTTTGTACCGGAGAGGCAGCATTTGCCCAGCACCCGCGAAAGCCGTCAGCCGCCGAGCTGTCAGCTCCAGAGGTGTCAGCCGGAGGCCGGTTCTCACAGTCGCCGTCACCGACAGCGGTAAGACTGACAGGCGCGGCGCGGTGCCGGTCGGCGCTCCCACACAGGACCGGTACCAATATCGGCAGCGGCGTGCAGGTAGTAATTACTGACTCCTGGTCCTCCATGATCGCCTGAGGGCAGAAAAATTCCGCGACGCGCTTTGGCTCACCTGTGACAATCACAGCGGCGTTGGTCGAGCCAATCGACCGCCGGGTAATGCAGACCCGACAAAGACATCTGTTTACTTTTGACTCGCGCACGACCTGGATAAAAAAACGTCGCCGTCCCTCCAGAGTACCGTGAGGCCATCATTGTCCGGACCTCGGCGACCTTTGTGTTGTGACTTGTCTTCCGTGCGGGCCGCAGTCGCGTTCGGTACCGTTGGCGGCGGTCCTGTGGTTAAACCCTATCACAGTCCCGGTGCAATGTCACCAGATGGGCCGGCCGGTGACACGTGCGGTGACCCCGCGTGACCCCGCTGGTGACACGTGCGGTCACCGACGTGACCCGGCGGCCGGTAAACGGTGACCCCGAGCCGCGTTCGTCGCAATATAAGGAGGTCGGGCAACGCACCGTAACTCAGAGCCAATCTCGAGTCCCCACTGTCGAACGTTAATTGCACAAGGACCGGACGGCATGATACCGGCTTCCAATTGGATTCCAACCAAGAATTATTGTCGTGTCAGATCTCCGATCGAGTTTCCTTTGTTCAAAACGCTTTAAGTGCTGTGATTCCGGATGCTCTTAAGTTTTTGGGTCTGCAGAATTTAATCAGGAAATGACATTCAGGAAGCATATTGACCGAAAACCAGCTGTCCTAAAGCGGCCACAAAACGTTCACGAACTGTTCATCCATTTAACGAGCATCTCATCTTCGATTCTGCTCTGTTGGTGGCCGCTGTCGACTCGAAATTGAATGGATGTCGGGAGCAAAAACAAAATTACGTTTTTCTGTCGAGTTTCCGACGGCGAATGAGGCTGTGGTTGAATAGAATAAATTGATCTGATCAGCCGTGAAAAGAACCGTGGCAATGTCGGTTTCTGTAAACACTGTTTACTACCACTGAAGAAGCTCGGCATCACCTCATTGACCTCGAATGAATGCCCTTTACCACGGTTGCAGTTGCAACAAAAAGGCAGTGATGCGCAGCGCTGGTTATCTGCTCTCGACCGCCGACCAGTTTTTACAGCCGCTGTTCCGGCCAATCATACCAATACTTGGAACCCGAGTGTAGCCGCCGCTGCTGCCGCCGGCAAATGCATCAAAACGACGGCACGGTCACCGAATCGCAATGAGTCTGCTTCTGTCGCCGCGTCTGTACCAGAAATCGTCGGTCGTCGCCCCGCACTCCTCGCTCTCTCCCTACCTCCCATCCTCTCTCCGACTACGGACGACTGTCGCTTCCCGGGAGACGCGCGCTCGCGGGTCTGAGTGTCACAGGACGACCTGGAGAGGACGCATATCAGATCAGAGCTGCGCACGGCGCCGTTAGTCGGTGCGCGTGCCATTTGTCATCGCCACCTCCCATTGCGCTCGGCTTATTGACAGAGCGCACGGGCCGGCTTCGGCCTCGTCCTCCGGTACCGTTACCGGGCTAATGAATTCTGCTCGGTGGGTTTTCTGTCAGAGAGGCGCGTTTTGTCCGTCCGACTGACGAACGGGGGCTGACGTCGCAGCGGCGGCGCAGTTCGGCCATCAGCCGCGGAGCGAGAGACTGGGAGGGAGGGAAGCCGGGGAGAAGGGACGAGCGGGCAAAGGTGAACGAAAGGGAGATGAATAGAGGAAGTCCTTCCTCGTGCCTGATGCCGGCCGCTCACTGACCTTCGAGCCCCTAATCGACAATAGGTGGGCCCTATTACTGAATAGAGGAAGAAAGAGGGAGAGAGAGAGACGAGAGAGAGAGACGAGAGAGAGAGAGAGAGAGAGAGAGAGAGAGAGAGAGGAGGGGAGGAGGGAGGGAGGGAGGGCACCAGGTGAGCAGCCGTTGAGAGGTGCGGGCCAGCGGAACGGAACGGCACGACGAACCCTTTGAAGCTGGACTAACACGGTCCAGATGAGGCAGTGTTTGCTGCGCTGCTCCTGATGGGACGCGGGTGGCGGATGTGCCGCCACCGCGAGCACCGCTGTGACACGAGAGGCCGCGCCCGGGAACGGTAGGCATCCGTCATAATATGTATAGGCTAGCGGCCCACTGTCGGCCCCCGCGCGCCACACCGCACACCACAGGAGCCGCGGAGTACCGGGTCGGTCCCTGCAGACCTCAGACGTGACGTCACATCCCAGCAGTGACGTCACGTCAGTCCTGTGACCGTTCGGTCGCGGCCCCACGTCATCCGGTGTATGCAGACCCGTCAGCCGTCGATCACATGCCCCTTATCGGAGTCTCGTGACGCTCCGGACTGACCCCGTGACCTTGTGTGCACCTCAGACGGCGCCGCGCCGGGTCACTGCGCCGGATACGTCGTGGATGGCGCGGCTGCGGCGGAAATGTCGCTCCGCACCACCGCTGTGTGCTCTGCGCAGGATTGGCGGAAACTAAGGCGACGTAACAGGGCGCGTTTTTGCTGTCTGGCCCTGGCCGTATTCGATGTCTGTACCAACAGGAAAGGCGTCATTTGCGAGATAGAGCACCGACAGATCGACAGTGACACTTATTCTGTCTGAAACCCGTAAATGGATGCATATAAATGCATAACAACAAATGAGGTCACAAACAACTCATCAACATTTATCTAATTTATTTTCACCTCTCCGCGTTTGCGTTTTTGTCTCCACTCAATGTACTCACAATTTATCACTTTTGGGCTTCTCGCAGATCTATGTTTCTTGCGTGTCTACTCTGCTTTCCAGCCGGTCTCTAAAAGTGAAAGCAGACCCCGGGTCCCATTGCCCCACCCGAGATCAGCCTTTTTCCCACGATTATTTCGTGCTGCTTGGGAGTCAGAGATACGAGCATCCGCCGACCGAAATAGCCTGAGACGAGATACCTGTACGACTGAGGCTGAGATCGAAACACCTGGCGCTTTCTTGGCGCTCTCCCAGAGTTAATTCGCTTCCTTTCTTGTGCGGCTCATCCCAATCGTTGTCAAACGGGAGCCCCGCGGCATGTCCGCCGGTGGGTCTTCTGGTCCGGCAGACGGCAGGCAGACGGCGGGCGAGCGACGCTGACGGTGAAGCGCCCGCCCGCAGAATTTTTAACGTCGCTCTATGGCTTGCGACAGGCCGGGAAGGGCTTCCGCACACTCTTAAAACGCTCGTAAGTCTGTGTCGTTCGCTAGGGTTACACGCAATTTTACAAGCCAGAATCGATAGCCGCTTGTGTGGGTCAGACGGAGATTCGCGCGATAGATTTTGCCATCGTCGGAGCTCCCAATTAAACAACAGTCCCTTTTCATTAATTCTGACCTTCGCCAGGTCCCAGCAGCATATCTCGCCGTTCCCGGTGCCCTTTTAACGTGCCCACGCCAGCACAGCCAAGTGCCGATGACAGACTCCCAGCGGAGGCCGCGACCGCCTGTGCCGGGCGCCGGCCGCGGCTGGCGGGCCTCTCGCCGGTACGCCGACCCCCGTTGTTTCAGATGGTAATATACGGCCGGGCGCCGGTTTAATTTGTCGTTACTCACCCGACCTCCCGGCCGCATCTGTCAAAGGTGGCGCCATTGATCAGAGCGCGCCGCACCTCCCGTTAATCGCCACGGTACGCCAGGACCGCCGCGCGCGGCGCTCGGAGGCGCCCTGGGCGGCCGCGGCCAAATTAGCGCACCGCGCGCGCCACTAACGAGACGGATCACTGAGAGCGGCATGGGTGGTGCGGAGGGTGACCTGGGGGTGGAGAAGGTGGCGCGGAGGGTGACCTGGGGGCGGAGGAGGTGGCGCGGTGAAGGGTGACCCGGGGGAAGAGAGGGACGTCCCGACTGATGACTGGGGGCGGACGTCCGGTGCCGTCGAGCGGCACCGCCGGGTGAGGCACCGTCGCCGCCAGACGAGGGCCTCGTCAGACGGGCCCCACCTGATTGGTGACGGCGGCTGCCGTCTTCGCGCTAACGATGATTTAATGGGCGCTCGTCCGGTCGACGGCGGGCATCATCAGCCAGACACGGACGCAATCAGGTAATGGCGCCCTCGAGCGCCCTCGAGCGGCCCGAGCGCGGCAGGACGCACCACGAGCGGCGCACTCGAACCCGCGCTGAGGACGCCCTCGAACGCACCGGCTCCGGGCCTGGCCACCCCTGTCCTGACTCTACGGCCACTCGATCGAGCTAGACAGCCCACCTGCCTGGCTGTCCGACTCTACAACTGCACAAGGATTACGCGACGTGCGACGGGCCCCACCGGAACCGGGGCCGGCCTGTTCCTTGGGACACAGTCGTCCGGTCGACAGCAGACGACATTGGCGAATGACATCTCGATAGACGCAGACGACGGCGCGGCTGGCGGTCAGATAACAGACGAGGCAAAAACAACATAGTTATGATGCGTCTGAAAGGACGAGCCGCGGCCCACGGCGGGGCTTCGTCAGTCCGCCTCTGGCTGCGACAAAGGCCCCACAGAGCGGCCTCGAAGTTCTGAGTGCTGACGAGCGCGCCCGTCCAAACACTAATTGTCCAGATTCTCTCCGTCTTCCTGCATGCCAAATGCACTGTGGGGCGCCAGTCTGCCCACCAACTCGAAAATACCGCCCGGTTGACATTCAGCACGACGCTCGGAGTGCTTTTATGATGATATTTTCGCCGTAATCAAGGCGGCTGCTGGTGGGCGGATCCAGCCTTTTGGTTTTGTTCACCATGGACTGCAGTCTCCCTCTGAGGACCCGCGCTGGCCAGGAACCGGGCGGGGAAGGGGGCGGGGGAGGGAATGGCACGTGGCTCGTTCGTTACCGGCTGAGGTCGGTCGCGACAGACGCGACAGACAGCTGGGTGTGCGGCCGCGCACGGCAGCGCGCCGACCCTCCGCGACGCTAATTAGACGCCGCTCGCCGGCAGAGAATACCCGGCGTGCTTGGGTCGCCGCCGCCGCCGTCGGCATGCCGCCTTATCTCTGCGGCAGCCGGGGGAGCGGCGGCGGTCGTCACGGAGAGACCGGCGTCAGGGGACAACAGAGAGTTGGGGACGGCTGAGGTGACGTCGGCGGTCGGTGGCGCGGGGTCCGCGGGGACTGCGTATCGGGGCCGTCGGGATTGCATGCTATCGCAGCAGACTACCGAGAAGTCTGCGAGTCTCTGGAAAATTGGCGAGTCATCTGCACACTGACTTTGGGGAGTTGTGGAGAACGTGTTATTCCTACTTTTGGCGTGTGTTGTTTGCCTTGTTAGAAGAGACCGAACACGAGAAACCCAGCATTGCAGTGGAGCATGCACTGATAGCATGTAGATTGGAGTTGTTTGCTTATTTCTGCGGCAAATCAGGCCATTTTGCAGGCTTTGAGATTAAAGTCTTTTGAAGAGCGACAACAGGGGAAGACCGGCTTGTCTGCAGATAACTTACGAGGAAGCAAAAAACTCGACCTGTCCTTGTGGGAACTCGTGTTTATGAAGCACAGATCAGAAGATTCTGCCCGCCGATATGGGCCAATAAAGGCAGATATCGTAAATGTCGTATTTTCTGCGTAGATTTCTCTATAACGGCACAATGTGTCTCGCATCTCGCTGCACGGCTATCACTTCGCCATCAACTCTGCGAGAAAAACCGCCCCCCCCCCGCTCGACAAGTGGACACGATCTGGCAATGGCCGCTCCGCGAGTCTCAGATCAAAGGGCCATAAACGTCAGTCTTGTGGCGCGGCCGTCCCTCTGCACGGCTAGGACCAGTCCCGTCCGCTGCAGCCGACCGGCGCCCGTCGCCGACCGGTGCGACTTTTCACGGGTCGCCGTCCGATGACGCCGTCGGCGAGTCGGCGACCACTTACCGGACGTTGATTAAGCCCTTCTTCCTGGTGCGTTGAAAGAGCGCCGGTCGTGCTTTATGACACGCCGACCCCCGCCAGTATAAAATGGCCATCGGCATCGTAAACCGTGGCCATATCCATTAAATTACACATCAATTGAAATTACCCAATTTACGGCTGCTATGAAACCGGTCGGGCCGAGATGAAAAATGCCGGCCACTAGGCCCGTAAGAAGCTCGGCCGGGCGCAGATAGGCGGATAGTGGCGGCGCGGCGCCGGCTGAGGAGGTGATGGAAGGTGCACGGGGACCGGTTATAGCCGCGGGCCGGCGCCGCTGACAGCTCGTCGTCCGGGGGACGGAGCCAGGTATGACTAGCCACCCGACACGGAGCGCCCTCTCAGCCGCGCCGTGCGAGACAGAATGCACCGGCGGACTGACGTGAGCACGTCAACCGCGGCTCTCACTAGGAATGGGGCGTAGAGTGTCCGTCTTCATGTCCGTCAGATAGGTCCAGAGGCGGTGCGCCATGGTGCAGGGAGTGCGTGGGCAGCTCCGTAGCGGCCCGTCCAGTGCAGCACCTGCGCCGCGGACAACCGGAGAAAGTGAGCACCAGCTGGAGGCCCGGTGAGCGGCGCATCCCGCCGCCGCCTCCCGCAGCCCGGAGCGGCATCATTAGCCTAACGCGGCGCGGGGTGCCGCGCGCGTGCGGCTCAGCGCGGCCGTACCGCCGCCGGCCGCGGCCGCTACATACGGCACGCGTGCTCTCCGCGGGCGGGGAGCCGCTCTGGCAGCTGGAGGGAGCTGAGATGGAGCGGCACGCCGCCCACCTGCCCCGCCGTCCCTCGGGAGAGCCCGGCTGGTTGTGTCGCGCCAGACGGAAGTGCCGCTAAAAACGACCACCGGATAAACAAGGAGGGCGACACGGCCGGACAAACGGCTGGGGTGCGCTTGTCAGCGGCTCTCAGGGTCCCCAGAGGTCTGAGGTGGCGCCGCCAGGTTATAGCCGTCTGCGGTGAGAGGCGACTCTCAGACGGCGCTCTTGAGGCTGAGAAGTTTCTCGAGCTGTGACCGAAATAGGGTCCATTCACGAGAAGTCGGCCAGTTCAACGAGGCCGCACACGACCGCAGCTGCCTGTATCCGGTGTAACACCTGACCCGATACATTCCTGTGTGCAGCCCGGCATGATTGGCGCTGCCGGTCGGGGGCAGGAACCGGGTGTGATTCGGGCGGGGCTGCGGTCGGCCGCGGCGCCGGGTCAGCCGAGGTCAGGCCGGCCGGCGCCCGGCCGCCCTCTGTCGGACCACTCTATAATTAGCCGCCGAGCGGCGGCCGGTGACGGCGCCTGTTGCAGCGGCCGGCCGGCGCCGCCTCACACTGCCGCGCCGGGAACCAGCCACAAATTACACACTCCTAATGATATTATGTAGATTAGTCGTTGACCGGCGGCGGCAGCGGCTCTCTAATGGAGCGCGCTGAGAACGGGGCGCCGCCGGCGGCCACCGCTGCCGCCGCGGTGCGGAACGGCCGCCGGCGACGGGCCGCCACCGCCACCGTCGGCTCCCCTCCACCCTGCCTTCAGCCTACAACCCTTCGACGACCAAAGGAAACTGACAATCACACTTAACTTTAACGGGTGCCGATTGCACACTCGTCGCGGCGCGCGGCGGGGGTCCGGCTCGTTGAAGCGCCGAGAAACGAGCGGGAGGGGCGAAACGCGCTGTTGTGGGATGCGGATGGCCGATGAAGGCCGATGGATGATACTGGGGTTCGGGGAGCGAGGGGCGTCTCCGCCCTGTAAATGCAGCCGTTATGGGCCGAGGGTTTTCTCAGAAACCGGACTGTTGGTGCAGAGTAGTGATATGATGCTGGTTTGATTGACGTGACGACCCGGACGGATTCAATGGAATTTTCGTGGATGTTTGAAAGGCCGACAGACGAACTGACATACTCTTTTGACGGCGATTGAAACTGTCGTGAGTGGCATTCCGGCAAGGGTGACGGAATGCGACAATCTATCGACCAATCCGTAGTGACGCAAATTCCATCGTTCACAAAAACGCATCGGCATCAACTTTTTGCATACCTAATGCATAAAGCGAAACTGTAATGCGCGCACAAATCCTCTCAGGCTGATGTATTTCCTGTTCGAGCTACAGCTGTCGGTCGTGTCCCGTGCAGTTTCAGCTATGTGCTCAGTTTCAGTGACCGTCCTCCCGTGCACGTTGTGACCTAGGTCTTCCCTGTGTTCCCAGGCGCTGATCGTGTCACCCGAGGTGGCCCGTCGCTACGAGACGCTCTCCGTGGACCCGGGCAGCGCCATCGCCTCCGACCTCCAGGTCACCGCAGGAGGAGAGTTCGTCTACGTCCTCTCCACTCAGAAGGTGAGCCAAATGACCTCCGCCGCGAGCACCTCACATCGTGACAGTGACGGACCGACCGTCCAAACGGGCAATGGCCCACACCGAGGGCATATCCGCCGGAAACATTGCAATGTCATGCCGCGAGCTGCCATGAAAACGCGATACAGCTCGTACTTCACCTCGTGCCTCCATTCACGATGATTTACAAGCGACCTTTGATGACTACTAAAGCTCGAGTACAGCTAACGAGCGTACCTACTCATGGCGCTAATATTTTTCCTTTGTGTTTTACTTAACCGGTTGGCACGAATGTACTGGCCTTGGCGTCGCGTTTTATCTACGGCCAGCGGCCACTTTGTGGGATCACTGTTGGTGTCTGACATAAGGGGTGGTCCGGGACCGTCCGGGACCGCCTGGCCCTGGTCGGACCGGCCCGGCCCGCTGGCAGGGAGGCCGCGGTCGCTCGGAGCGTGACCCCCACCATGACGCTGATGACCGGCGAGTAATTTATTGCAATGACGCGCCGCGCGTCGGCCGCCGAGCGCCATCGCCTCCCGCCGGCGAGACAGCGTTTCCACGCCCCCGGACCGCTTATCTTCGTCGCATCGGGACGGCTCTGACAGGTGGCTGCCTGCACTACCAGCGTCCTGCCGGCTCCTGCCGGCTCCTGCCGGCTCCGTCTGCTCGATCGGCCGTCCGATGACGGCTCAAATCACTCATCTGCTCTCCGAGCCGGGCCGGAACCGCCCCGGCCAGGTGGTGCACCACGCTGTCAGTCAATATGTCGGCCGGCACAGCAGAGCGTTCCACTCCATTTCCGAGTGTTCCGCCCTCCGAGAGCTGAATGAAACCCGCACTATTCTCGGCTGACGTTCCCAGCTTGACTCGTTCACTTTTTGTTGCCGCGTTTAGACGTTTCAGCGGAGACTATGCCCTGAAAAGTGCAATGACTCTTCACATTTAACTCGTGTAACATAGCTGTTCCTAACGCCTACTCACCTCACACAGAAACATTTCCTGCATTTTGCACACCTCAGCCATCCTCTCCCCTTACATCCTCTCTCTCCTCTCCACTTTTCTTCACTCTTTCTGCACAGTTCTCCTCTCCTCTCCTCTCTTCTCTCCTCTCCTCTCCTCTCCTCTCCTCTCCTCTCCTCTCCTCTCCTCTCCTCTCCTCTCCTCTCCTCTCCTCTCCTCTCCTCTCCTCTCCTCTCCTCTCCTCTCTCCTCTCCTCTCTTCCCCGGCTCGCTGAACCGGTTACCTGGCTCTGCACGCTGCACGCCGGCTCCGGGTGGGCCGAGCCGTCATTTCGCCGCGCCCCGCCGGCTCCATTACAATTACGGCGCGCCACGACGGCCGCCGCGCCGCGCCACGACCGCCGCCTCTCGGCCGAGCGGCGCGGAGACGCTCCCCTGGGCGGGATGCAGGCCGGCCGGCCGGCCGAGCGCGGTGGCCCGCTCGCCGACTCTTCTCTCCGACAGCCAGCATGCACCGCTCCTCACTGCAAATAAAACAAATGGCGGCGTGGCGGATAATTTACGCCGACCCGACATGCCAGCCGGCCCCTCTCTCCATCCCAGGTAGAGGTAGAGGTGGTAGAGGTAGAGGTGGAGGTGGAGGTGGTCGGCCGACGGTGAGCCGCAGTCTGACTGTATCAGCCGACACCGTCATACACACGGCGAACTGCGCTTTGTCCGCTGCCGTTCCATATTGATCTGGCTGCCATGACGCGGCTACTCTGCTATCCTCCTGTGCAATTGTTGGGCAACGGGCCGGCCATAGCCATTGCACTTAAGCCGCCTTGGCCTGAATCACATAGACTGGCTGAAAGGCTTTGCCACGCGTCAGTTGCGGCTGCGTTCCGCTTTGATTTGTCGGGGCGTGGCGACGGCACGCGCAGGGCCGTGCTCCGCAGGGTTGAGCCGGGTTTCGGCGAATCCCCGGCTCTCTACCTGGCGGAAATCCAGTAGGTACGGGCACGGCCGCTGACTTCAGGAGCCGGCTGTATGAGCTGTGCAGTCAGTCCATTTTCCGTCAGCCGACCACAGAACAGCGCTGTTGTGTGGTGGAGCTCGCAGTGTAGTGCCGGTGTGTGACTGTCTCAGAACGACTGACCGCCGGAGGGTGAGCGTTGCCAGAGACTCGTCATTGCGCCGCCCGCTGACACACCGCCAACCCGGTGAGAGCCCACACAACTTCCGGCATCCCTCTCACTGCCAGGAACACCGTGAACGAGCGTCAGAACGCCAGAGACAGACCGTGGCCACACCCGCTGCGGTTTGCCAGCTCGGAGGTCACTACAAAACCAGGTGCCGTCAGGGTGAATAGAATCAGAGCCATACAGTCTGACACCGCTCCGTGCCAGATTTGGTCACTCTCGTCAGACGACTTTGGTTGGGACCGGTCGCTGACACAGTTTGAATAGCTCCATGGCCTCTGTTCGCCATGTAAAGAGCGACAGACCGAGGTCTCAGGGCGCCCGGCGGAGGAGACTGCAGGGTGCACACGGCGGCGCGGGACCAGCGCGTCACATTAGCAGGCCTCCGGCAGGCCGCCCTCCGCCGGCCGGTCACCTCTAAACCTGCTCACCATCATTTTCCTCGGTATAAATCAAACGCCACAAAGCCGGCTGGACGCGGCCGGCGGTCGGCGGAGCCGTGCATCACAGCCGGCGCGGCGCGCGGAGGGTTGAGGGTCCCGGCTGGTGGACTGGAGTCACAGAGAGTCCCGGCTGAAGGACGGAGCGTCCCGACTGGTGCACGAAACGTCCCGACTGCGAACGGAGCATCCCCAGCGCGGCTGCGGCCGACAGATTCACTCAGCACCGCCGCACAGCCGCGCCGCACTAAATCAGCCGGCCAGCGCCGTCCGTCCGTCTGAGCTGCTGGCACGCCGCAGATGCGGACAGAGGTGCAGTTGAGGTCCGGCCAAAGACGCCCCCGGAGACGCAGCTCGGCTGAGAGACACGGTGACACTGCAGCCGCGGCGTCACTCGGCAGCTCGATTTGGTCGGATGGCTTCTCGCTCTCCACCTCTGCAGCTGCGGGGACGGTGGTCCTGCTCAGCTGCCGACGGCATAGAGAGAACCCCGTCCCTCCCCCGCCGCCGCCCGTCCCCGCGGCGACGGCGGCCTGTCTCGATATCGCTCACCGCTGCCGCATAGTAATCGAGCCGGGCGGCGCACGCGCCGATCGCGCCCGTTTAATCGGCGCGCCGCTCCCCGCCCTGACTGCGCCGCGATCGGCGCCGATACGGTGATGGCGCGCTGGCACCCAAAGTGGCGCAGTCATCGGGCGCGCGTCGCCGCCGGGCGCGGACGGCCAGAGGAGGAGTCGGCCTGAAAGCACGGTGACGGAGCACTGTCGGATGATCCGGGCGGCTGCCCCTGACCGCCGCTGACCGCTCCGGGTCGCCCCGGGCCGCCCTCGGTAGCGGCTCTGTTCCCCCAGTCTCCTGTTCTCCATTCTGCAGCTCTCCAGCAGCACGGTTCGCAGTCCGGCGCCGGCGCCGGCTGGCTGTGATAGCCGAACCTACCGCCGGGGTTGGGCCGTGTTTCCACTCGGACGGGAACTCTCCGTCTCCGGACCGTGGTCGGCGAGGCCGGAATGTGACGCCCCAGCTGCACGAGGGAATGCCCGCAGTTCTGCAGCGAGGCGAGCTCCGCAGGCGGGCGCGGCGCCGTGCGGCCGGCCGGCCGGGTTTATGATTGGGCTATGGGCCGGGTCAATTCGCGGGGTCCGTGAGATAGGGTCCATTGGCGGCGTCATGAGCCGGAGTCAATTTGCGCGGAGGTGCAGACCAGGATGGGCTTGTAAACTAATTTGCTGCAGTCACTGACACCGACCAACAGACTGTTCCGGGGTATTAGGGCCGTAAAGATACTGTTACGGCGAGAGGCCATGTCACTCGGGCAGGCTCACGAGTCACGACCCCGCGGACGGCGCGCCAGCCCGGGTGAATGCGGTCAGATTTCTCCCATCCGTCAGTGGGCAGCTCCAGTTTAGTTTGTACTCGGCCTCTGCGGCTCGGGACGGTCTGTTGTGTATTCCATGTCAGTGAGTGCTGGAACTTCATTCCGCGTGGTCCAATACCGAACTGTCCCACCTCATTCCGCCTGTCTCGCCCTGTGGCGCATCTGCCCATACTTTCACCGACATGTTCTGTAAGGCTCCAATTCCATTCCATTCCGACGTACCTCATCATGCACTGTCCCTGTTTTATTCTGTTTCGTAACCGCATGTTCCTTCACGTCTCATCCTGTCCTGCCCCGTCGACCCCACATCCTGTCCCATCCCTCCCATCCCATCCCTCCCGTTCCGTCTCTCCGGCTTTCCGCCGGCGGCGGTCGCGCGTCCTTCGCCAGCCGTCCGGTGACTCTGCAGTTGCTCACATGATAAATTCAGACGGCGCTCACAATGCGCCCTTTATGCGGCCGGTCAGGCTGCACGCGGATCAAATGGGCTCGCTCCCATAGCTGGCACCCAGCCGTAATTGGCGGCCGATGGTCGAGAAGACGGTCCGCAAACAAACCGAGCGCGGGCGAGCGCCGGTCAAAGACGCCGCGCGCCGCCGCCCATTGATCAGGCTCCGGAACGCACCGGGCCGCCGGCTCACCTGGTCTCCTCCGAACACACGGCATTCACAGGATTGGCGAGAAATCAGCTGCTCACGGGACACAGGCCGATTTCCGCCGCCTTTGTGAGGCGCGCGCGCGTGCTGCGAAAATGCTTAAATCGGATTCGTCTGGGGCGTTTCAGGACACAAAGGTAGATAGGGGCCGTCCATAAGTTTCATGCGTCCCATTCTCCGCGGCCAGTCGGGACTTATTTATCGCCCATTCGGGCCTTGTTGCGTTCTTTTAGTGTTTTCTCACCGGCGGCATTCCTGGGCCTCTACCTGCGGCGCGGGCCGCGTTTAGGTATAAATTAGTCCGGCTGAACGTGTAACTAAGAGGTCCATTACCTGGGCTGCACGTTGGGTAGGGGTGTAGTTTAGGAGCTCGAGCCAGGTGGGCCGGTGGCCGGTGGGCGCACCCCCGCCGCGCGGGCAGGGCCGCCGGCTGGTTGGCCGACACCCCCGGCGAGCCGTCCGGCCCTCCCTCCCTGGCCATCCCAGGTGGTGGTCGGCCGGCCCTCCAGCCCCGGCTCACCGCAGCGCCGAAATTAATTAGCTCGGCTCGAAATTCTACGGCAGGGTATACCGGACTTACCTTGAGCCGTCTGCGATGATGGTTTCCGTCCGGTGATACGCGGTGGTGAGGCGCATCCTCTGTACGCCGTCCCGTCTCCGCAGGATACCTGGGGGAAGCGGGGCGGTCAGCGGCTGCCGCAGACCCGTCGCCCTCCCCACTCCCAGCTGCACACCTGACCGATTCTCCGTCACGAGCTCCGGTCCGCCGGGACGATTCCCACGGTCGTGGAGGACCCGGCGTATCATCACCCCACCCACCCCCATCCACCCCACCCCACACATCGCACCGGTCCAAACCCGGGCCGAGCCGAGCCGACCGCCGCGCCGGCTCTCCGAGCGGGGCAATTAGTCGAGTTGGATTGATTCTCGGTGATTGGCCCGGTCGGGTCGGTAGCGGTCGGTCGTCGGCTACTGATACAGCAGGTGGCCCCCGAGGGAGCGGTCGGGATGAGCCGTGACCGTGACCGGCAGGGCTCAGAGGTCAGGACGGAGGACGGAGGGCTGAGTCGCTAGGAGCGCGTCGGTTCCTGGAGGCCAGGAGGAGGGCTCACGGTGCCAAATATCCAGGTGCCAAGGTTGATACGGGCTAGCGATATTGCCAACAGCATGTGGGCAGGGATAAGATGCTGTTGGTGGGCGATTCGAGGCTCATCAACGACTTTTATAGCATTTCGTGAGCTTGGAATCACCTCTAAAAGCTCCGCCGCTGAGCTAAGGGAGGGTATTTAGGAGCGCTCCCCGCGCCCGGTGACCGGGGAGGGCCGCTGGCAGGGGGCAGGGCTCCCTCTCGGTCGGCCTCCCGTAAATCGGAGCAGCGCGGAGCCGTTTTTACGTGGCTGGCCGGCCGGTCGCCGCCGCCGGCTGAAAAGGATCGCCGGACGGCCGCGACGGGGCGCCTCAAAAACAGCTCGCCGGCCCCTTTGTGGGGCAGCGAGTCGAACTGGGCCGCTCGCCGAGGCGCGCTGCTCGGTCCGTCGGCTCGGCGCGCGCGCGCCCAATGCGCTCAGACAGGACTGGGTCGCGACGCGACGCGGCCAGAATCGCTGACGACGCGCCGCTGACATCGCCGAGACACGCTTCAAAGTGCGCCGGTGGACCGTCGACAGAAAAACCAACTGCCCGCTGGATGCGCCCGCTGTCGGCCAAAAACCGGGGCGCGTCGCTGCACGTCGGCAACGGAGCGGCTCGTTTTTACGGCACCACGTCCGGCCTTGATGATTTTTCACATTGGTTAAGCGGCTGGGCCGGGCCGGTGTTGTTTTTGCAGCGTTTCCCATGCGGGCCGTGACGACAGGGTCTGGGAAGCACCGGTAGGCGGCGACCACAGCGCTTCCTCCGCGCCACCGTCCGCCCTCCGCCGCCAGCCGCAGCTGACGCCGGCGCCTACTAAATAATGGGCAGCTAATTTGTTTATGAATCGGTAATTACTTCGTGTCGTGTTTTCACTCTCGGCGCCCGGAGAAAGTGCGTGCTCGCCGCCGGACCCTGAAAGCTAATTTGTAGCGGAAAAATCAGGCTATCGACGGGGGCCGGTCGGTGGGTTGACCCGCGCTGCGGGGGCCCGGCCGAGGCGCGGCGACGCCCGAGCTGCCGGCGCGGCTGACCCTGTTTCTTTGCGGCTGTGACGGAGTCTCCGTGCTGTTACCGAGGTGTGTCTAATGGAAGTCCGGCCTCAATGGAGCGCCGCAGAGCGATGGAGCGGCCCGCCACAGAAAGTGAATGCCATGTCGGCCGATTAATTTGTCAGCGGTGACCCGTGGCGCAATGCGGCCGGTCACGGAGGTCACGCAGGTCACGCAGGTCAGACACGTGCCGACCGGAGCTGGCCGGTCGCCGTCCTGGTCCCAGCCTGGCCACCTGTAACCCTGGCCACCTGCTGTACCGGCGCTGTCACCCCTGACCTGACCTGACCTGACCCGAGCGCACCTCGTTAGTCCATCTGCCCCGGCCGTCGCTTTCGGCCCGCCCCTCACCGTTTTATCTGTCTGTTTTTCAGGTGTCGAAGGTGCGCGTGCAGACGTGTGAGAAGTACACCAACTGCTCGTCGTGCCTGGGCTCCGGAGACCCCTACTGCGGCTGGTGCTCGCTCGAGAAAAGGTGAGTTGGCGGCCGGCTGCAGCTCTCAAGGCTGCAGGAGAACAGAGCGCTGCGCATGGCGTGTCAAAGGGAGATTTGTCCGAGAGGCCTCTCCGTCTCGGAGGCCGCTCACAGAGCCGCCGCGCGGGACTCGAGGCGTCGGGATGGCACCCGGCAGTGCAAGCGGTCCCAGCGCAGGTCACATGTAAGGTGCATGTGTGTGAGAAGGGCCCCCGAGGGAAGTCCCTCGACGTGCAAATGGCGAAACGGAAACGGAAGGCGAGAACCCAACATTGCGGACGGATGTGGCGTTCACGGACGTGGCGTTTTACACTGAGATTATTGGCACATTGCTAATATGGGGCTTCCAAATGACTCAGATCTTACAGCTTCCTTGTTTCACCTGCCTTGATCGCTGAGCAGCCATCAATAAATCATTGAGTTTTTATACATGCTTTTGCATGGCAAGCATGACGAATGGGACTGGCTCGAATCCTACATATCTTTCGCACGAACGTACAGTCTGATTCAGGATAGCTAACGTAACTGATTCGAATTGTTTTCGGTCATGTTTTTATTCGGATAAGCTACTCTTTCGAATAATGCGTGAAACATATAAAGTAAGTGTGACCTGTTCCATAGCAACGCATCGAGCAAACATCATGTAAAATCGAGATTGCTCAGTGCCCACGTCAGTGACATGCGACTTCTCGACATGCTCAGCGGACGGTCAGGCCACAGCAGCCTTTCGGCGAGACTCAGAGTCGGTCGCTGCCGGCAGTCTGTCCCGCTAGGGAAGGAGAAAGATGGGATCGAACCGCCCGTCCGGCAGCAGACCGTCCGTTTGACGCCTCAGATAAATGGACACCGGTGAAAAATGGCGCACTCGCTTGTTGTTGAAGCGCACAGAGTTGATGGTGCCGATGCCGGATCGTCGCTCATCCCTTCCGACGGATCGGCCAGATTGAAACAGCGTCGGCCGCGACGGGAATAGATGGGACGCCGGCCGGCCGCCGATGACCGCTCCGGTGGCCGGCCGGAATTCAATTAGCACCGCCGCCCGCCCAATGGCGCGGAATGAAACCGGCATCAGTGTCAAGTGATGATTTCATCTGGCGCTCGGCCGTCCGATGGCCGAGCGGGGGATATTCGGAGGGAGGGGGTATCACGATGGTGGGGCTGGGGGTAGGGTGCAGGGTGGGATTGATGGGTCGGCAGGCGTCTGGTGTCAGAGGGCTGCAGCAGATCTTCAGCACCTGCTCAGAATCATATTAGCTTCCACACTGTTCCCTGAAATACTGCCGTCTAAATTGATTCACGTCCGCGCTGCTAAGCCCCGGAGCTAAAATTCGCTCCGACACTTTCTCGCCGTTAATGTCGGGCGCGATTAGAACCAGCCAAGTGTCGGCGGAATATTACTAATTCCAATTCCCACTAACCAGCATAATGGCTCTAAGTGAACAAATAATTTTCACATGGCTCTGACGGCGACCATAAGCGGTGCCGATGAGCCGGTGGTCACGCCTGGCTCTGAGGTGCGCCATGCCGGCCGTCTGATTGGTCGCAGTTGACACCTCTCCAGATTATACACCCCGGGAACCGGACCGTGCGCCGGCTGCGCGTCTCAACTCCACACTATCTCGGCCGATGACAGCGGGCGATGGCCGCCTGGTTTGTCCCACGGCCGGATCAGAGAGACCCCGATCCCCGACACCACAGCCATCACCCGTAATAGCCGCAGTTTCAACAATTTCGCCGCGGGCGTCCCGTCGCCGCGACGACGCAGTGGCAGCGGTGGCGACGTCCGTTTCCGCACCACCGCCGGAAGAGAGTCGGCGGACTTTCGCTGATGTCGCCATCGGCGCGGCGGCCGTCGCGGTCGGTGAACAATCGAGCTCCAATCGGAGCACAATCGGCGCACAATCGGTCGGCACTGGGCGATGATTAGATGCCTGTTAGAGCGGCGGCGGCCGACGGCAGGCCGGGCCGGGCGCGTCTGGCGGCGCCGACCGAGCGGGCCATTTATGGCGCAGCACGAGCGTCGTGTGCGCCGGCGGCGGTGCCGGCGGGCCTCTCGTGGCGGGCGCTGGCTCCTTGCCGCCGCCGCCGCCGCCGGCAGGCAGATGCGGCAGATGTCGGATGGAACAAAGCGGCCGCCGAGCGGCGTTTCAATGAACGCGGAGAATGGGGCGTGCTGCACTATTATTAGATTAGTGCTAACCACCTGTGGCGGGGGAGCGGTCAGTCTCTGGCCGGTGTCGGCTGTTGCAGTCCCCTCTCACCTGGCGGGAGGGTTCCTCGCCGGCCGGCTGCTCGCTGGGCTCATTACCGTCTGCCATGACTGCCGGGTGGCTGACACCCCTCCGCCGGAGGCCAGGAGCAGCAGCACGAGCACAAAGCGGCACGTCTGGTCCGTGTAACCGACCTGCAGCCGTCGCCATAGCCGCAGCCTTCACCGGGCGCGCTTTGTTCCCCGTGCAGACGGACAGCCGAGAAATTCATTTGCCCGGTGCGGTTCAGACGCGGACTGTTTTTGCGGTGCGTCTGTTCGATGCTCCGGCAGTGCGACTATCAGCCGTCGGTGCCACACCCCCATCAGACGCCGTCGTTTCGACATCTCCGTCCGTCGTGACCCGCCGGTCAGCTCGTGCAGGGCGGCTCCAGGTCAAACGCGTGTACCGCGGAGAGCACGAGCCGCTCATGAGGGCGTTCATTGGGGCCACCCCACTGCCCGCTCTGCCTCCGGTCATGATGTGGCAATTGATTGGAGCAACACTGATTATTGCAGCAGCACCGCCAACAACACCCAACGACAAGGGGTGTAAACAGCCGACCACCATCCTAGTTAGTCGATGTTCCAGGAGAAATTGACGACCGACTGGAATGGACTAGACGCACTCGAATGGCTCGAATGAGCCACTCGATGACCGGTGGTTCGGTGGGCGGTGTCGGTGGTCACAACACCCGGCCTTCCTTCGGCCTTCTCTGAGAAAGTGACGGGACAAGAACAGACCGCCGCCCGCAGCCAGTCACTGCCGAGTGAAGGGTGGGGATGACTGAGACTTTCTCGTCTCTCCGGTTCACTGAGCAGCGGGTAACTCTGACCAACTCTGCTCCCCTCGGAGGGACCGGGACACCCTCTCCATCTCTGGCTATATCGCGGCGTCGGGAACGTTGCAAATGACGCTCTGCGCACCGCCCCTCTCCGCCCTAAACCAGCAGCTCAAATTACCGACCAACTTAGCGGATTATTCGCCGCGCTCTGAAATGCAAATGACATTAATTGTAAACAAATTTCATCCCGGTTCTGCGCCTAAGTGTCGCGCAATCTGAATTTATGTGCGGAGGGATTCGTTTTATTACGTCCATTTGCAAGAAGCGGACGGCGGCGGCGGAGCAAAGTGGCGACAGGCCAGCGGGGAGCCGTGGCCGCCTAATTCGATCAGCTCTGGGAGCGATGCTACAAAAAAGTGTCTCGCCGACCGCGATACCGCCGGTGGTCGAGGCTGCTACAGGCCTGTGGTCGGCGATAATCGGGTTAGCCAGCGTCGGCGGAGATGGGCGACCTAGCCAGGACGGGGGCGGGGCGGGGGCGGCCGCTCCTTCGGCAGGGGTGCACCGGGCTCCGCTGGCGCGTACTGCGGATCGCACCCCGCCCCATTTGCATAACGTCATTACTTTTCAACACAGTGCGGCACATAATCAATAGTAAGACTCGCTGCGAGCCAACGCAGTGGAAAGCGCGGCGCAAATGTGGCGGAAGGAAGGCGAGTGTAACGACGGACCAGTGAGGTGGAGCGGTGGAAGGCGGACACCGAGCACGCCTTCAGAGGGCTGGAGCTGTGGCAGCTCTGAAGAGCAGCTCTGCATGTAGGGGCAACACAGGAGCTGCTGGGATAAACCCGACTCTACGGAGGCACAAGGAGTAAATGATTCTTAGGAGGAACTCAGATCTGGGGAGGAATGAATAGCTGTAGGATCTTGGCTCTGAGAGAACCTCGAGTTTTGAGAGGACCTGGGGCACTGAGAGGACCGAGTGTCTCCGAGGGGGACCTCCTCTCTCCCAGCAGGACCGCCGAGTTCTCTGAAGACGGCGCCGCTCGAGGACCGCGCGGCGGCGAAATTTCCTCCATAAATCGCCGCCGGCACCGGCGGTGTGACACGGGCGGCCGGTGGCCGGGCCGGGCCGCGGCTTAGCCGACCGACGCTCTGTTTGAGTTAGGGATCGGAGAAGGCACGGCGTGGGCCGACGGTGGTCGATCGGGCCCGGCCGACCGCTCTCTGCGGCTCGGGGACACAGGGTCGGGTGGCTCGGGCGGGCGGATGCAGGTGCGTCGGAGACAAGTCAAACTGCTGTCTCACACATTGTGCGCGCACTGCAGACTGAGTTGATCGATGCCCATCGCTTTAACGATTTGACCTTTTTACGTATAGAATCAAAGTTGCTATGACATTCGTTCCAGTTTTTTTTTTTTACCTCACACCTATGATTTTATAGCAATTTGCTTGCTTTTTTCATAAACGACAACCACAGCCCACAAATAGTAGCTACTTACCTAAAAATGGAGCCCTCTTGAGCTTAGTCGTTCGCGGCTCGTCTACCGAGGATATTGCCGTTTTTAGTGGCTGTTATCGATAAAAACACCCTGAATGGCCAAACATTTCCCCTCACACCCCATAGCGTGTTTCCAATTCGGTCTGAAGTTTGTGTGGGGCTAATGGCGCCTTAGCTGTGCCGCTAACAGGCCGATCCAAGTTCGGAGCCCGCTAGCAGTGTGAACGGTCGGGGCGGGGCGGGGCAGACTGTCGGTCGGTCGGCGCGGTCCCCCGGTCGGCTCTCGTTATTGGTCAATGGTCAATGAAGCCAACCTAATCTAAACGTATCGTGCTCTACCGTTGTTATTAGTACCGCCGGTCATACGATACGTTGGCAATTGGGTTCGGAATAATGAAACGGCATTACCAGCAATAGCCCTAAGTAATCACATCGTTTTTATGTACGGCTTTCATTGAGTGCACACTACTCTATATGGCTCACGACATTCGCTATCAGATTAGGGAATTGGTCCAGCGCTGCTGTGTACCTGCATTCTAGGACCCGAGATAGCATGCAATGGGAAATACGACTCCGATTGGGCGTCCACTTTTTGCTCAGCAAAAAACCTGTCATCTATCTTCCCATTCACGATGTCCTGACCACCGTCGGCTCCCTGGACCTCCTCACTGTCTGTATTAATGGAGATATTGACGGCGTGGCTGGCTATGTAGTCTATCTACCTATATCTTCCATACACAGTCTGTTCGAGATCTGGTCTTTTTGTCGATATGTAAAGGTTTCGGTGCAGTCTGTCTGTATATGCGGACCGTCTGCGTATATGTCTGTCTGTCTGTATACGTATTGGCGCTGTCTGTATGTAACTAAATGCAGACCGCCTCTGTACGTCCGTCTGTCTGTCTGTGTGTGTGTGTCTGTGCACCGTCGTGCAGCCCTCCACCAGCAAGTAGCCCGCCCGCCAGTGCCCATCCATCAGACCGCCGGCCCACGATGTGTCCCCGACACAGCCATTGTCGCCGACGCAATGCATTCGGGGCCGCCGTGCAAACCGTTTATGATTCATATCGCATGTGACGCACGGCTCGACGACCTGCCACTGACTGTGCCGTGCCGTGCAAGGCCGTGCCGTGCCGTGCCGTGCCGTGGTCTGCTGTGCCGTGCTGTGCCGTGGTGTGGTGTGCCTCGTCTTCTATTGCTCCGTGACCTTAAGCACTGCGATGTGTTGTGTCGATTGACGGCTAGGGCTCTTCGTTACGCCATTCTATTGTTACGTTTGGCACCATGTTGCCACCTATCAATGCGGGCTCATCAAGGGAATCTAATCGCAGTCTGATTAGCTGAGTGTTTGATGACCTCACTGTCTATCGTGTGATGACCGGAGACCGGCGACCGGTGACCACACGACTCGCCGTTTACCTCGGTGACTGAGTCAGGTCGGTGGGCGGCAGGGACAAGGCACTGACGGAGCAGAGGCGAACGGTGACTGACGCGTCGCTCGAGCGTGACGAACGCATGCGTGACGGTGACGGACGACGTCACAGCTCGTTGCGGTCACTGGACAAACATGAACACCGCTCAGCTGTGGTCGTGGCCCCCTCCGACCGATGAGTAACGCCCCACCAGTATTGATATTTCGTCCCTACCGGCCGGTTTGCGGCAGCTCACGCGGCGGCTGATTCAGCTGTTTATGACCACTCGTGTCGGTCTCGGTGCAGTGTGTGACCTGCAATATAGGGACGAGCGGTGCTCGGACGACCTTGCAGCCGCCTCTAGTCCGTGCGTGACCTGTGCGTCGTAACGGCTCGCCGCCCGCCCTGAGACGGTCCTCGGGCGAGCGACGCGTGCCGACCGTGCGTCGGATTAGGGCTAATGCCGCCCCGGCCTTGCATTGTGATGCGTTATGGGTCTCGGCGGCGCCGGCTCATTGCCTCAGTGTGCAGCGGAGACGACTCGGCGCATCGTGATTTGTGCGCGCGCCCGCTCTCCCGCTGTTGAATGTGGTCGGAGTGAATGGCTGTTTTTCAACTGCAAGCTTTTGACTCAGCATTTAGAGTTGTGCAGTCCGACCTTGCTGCAATGCGTCAGTTTTCAGCTTTTCTCAGAGTAATTCTGATAAACACAGTCTACAGAACAAAGCGGGACGCTCGCACGTCACATTTTCTGGACAAACACTGCTGTGTTTAGCCATTTCTGCTACGTTCCGAGGTTTTTGCTACACTCGCACGCTGTCAGCTGCTCTTCGGTCCGGTCCAGACGCACAAAACCCGTCCAGCGTCCTCATCGGTCGCCGGGTGACGGCTGTGAGACCTGTCAGCTCCACCTTTATCCCGTCTGTCGCCGGACGTCCTGCGATGTTCCGACGTGTCCGCTGTCGGCTCAGCTCGATCTCTGTCATGTCACCCGTCCTCTGCGGTCGCGCCGACCTCCGCTCTCGCCCTCAGCTCTCGCAGTCTCGCCCCGTGACACGACGCACCACCCAGGCACCATCGGAACCCGCGCGAGTTTCCTCCGCCGCTTGACATGTTACAACCGAGCACCACCCCTTCCCCTGTGTCCGGCCGAAGACTGACCTCGCCCCTCTCTCTCCGCAGATGTACGATCCGCTCGGAGTGTCAGAAGGCACAGCAGAGCTCGCCTCGATGGCTGACGTTCGGAGCCGGCCAGCAGTGTATCGACTTCGAGCAGGTGCTGCCGGACAGGATCCCCGTCGATCAGACCGTCACGGTGAGTTTAGGGGACAGGGGCTGATCCGACACGGGACGAGGGACCGTCACGGGGTGGGCGATTCGTCACGGGGTGGGCGATCCGTCACGGTACGCGGTTACGTGCTGTGTGGCGGTGCCATTGATCGTCTGAAGTTCAATGGGGTGGGAGTTGGTAGCTGTGGGAACTCGACAACTGTGTTGACTGTCTGACAACTGTGACAACCGAGTTGTGAATGACAGAAAGGGAGAGGGAACGCAGTGAAGAGGAAGGAACAGGTGGTGTTGCCGGTCACCTTAGCTAATACCTCGAGCGGTCAGCGGGAAAAGGGTTCGCTACGCGTGAAGGGGAGTACGGATTGGGGACTGGACGCTCGGCTGCACGCCGCACCCGCAGGCTCGGGCGGCCGCGCTGGTCACTGCTCGTGGGCGGAGTTGCTCGATGGATGGATGGACCGAGGTGTCGGCGGCGAGGGCGTCAGGTGTCGGGCGCAGCCGGCGCCCCCGGCTGGTGCTGACAGCCCGCCGCTCCACCGCCGGCGGACGCTCTTCAAGTCGGCCAACTCGGTCAATCGGAGCTCGAACTCTCCACCCACGGTGGAGGTTTTGGATAAATGTCTTCGGCGAAATGTTCACAATCTATATCTGCCCTGATGTTCATCATGTAAAGGGTACTGGCTGACCAACGACCGTCTAACCGTCTAGGCTCCAGTTGCTATGTAAATGTGACTCGTCCCAACTCTTTACTTAGAGACTGTCAGTCCCATGGACACTGACCTTATCCCCAGTCTGCAGCTGGGCGGTAGGGCGACTCAGGAGCAATCCTCCAGTCACGTAAGCCCCAGCGACAGCTGAGCTATCAAGCAATTCCAACTTTCCCCGAGTCTTTTAAAACTTATCGCTGCCCCTCCAGGCAGGCGTGTCTCGATTTCATTCCCGGAAAGGAGTCCACAGTTCGCCCGTCTTGCTGTCGGTATAGGGCCTTTAATGACCTTCATCTAGTACTTTATTTTGGGCATTTATCTGATCAATGACCCTCCAGTGCGAGCGTTAAAGCGTCTGGCCAATCCAGTTCAATACCTAGAGCCCGTGAATCTCTCTCTCTCTCTCTCTCTCTCTCTCTCTCTCTCTCTCTCTCTCTCGCAGTCAGCGAACTCCCTAACTTTGCCGATTCGCCGGCCACCAGCCACCACCCGCCGGTGGTTTGACCGACCCCACCTCACCCTTCCGCCCACCCGTCGCCGACGTCCGGAAGCCGACGGCGCGGCGTGGCCGATGCGCCGGATATTGCGCCCGCGCCACTATAGTCTGCAGCGACGACAAGCGGCGCGGCCACACACATCCATTATACATGAGCGGAGGGGCGGCGCCGCGTGACGGAGGTGCCGCCTGCCACCAAGTGCCGGCCGCTGCCGCCGCTTACACCCGTCCCTCCATCGGAACTATCGGCACCTGGCAGATCGCCGCCCCTCGTCTGACGCTGAGAGCAGCTGATCGTGTCGTCAACGGCCGGCGGTCTCCTGGAGAAGCGTCCGAAGTGGAGATCACGAAACTCGCGAGGAAACTGCCAGAATTGTGTGCGTTCGCGTTGCAAACCCCGTCGAACGGTCCAAGAGACGAAAGATCCGTTTGTTACCGAGAGCTTGTCGAGTCCTGGAATTCATACAAATCACAAGAGTCGCTGACATTTGACGGAATTCAAAATCTCCGGATATTCAGTGTCGAGGACATTAGACAACCAGAGATTCCTAAGATCCTCCAGTAAAGGTCCTAAGGTCCGAATAAGGTCTTAGGTCTTATAAGCCTTCCCGGATGGACCACCAGCATGTGTGACTGTGAGCTTGGTTGCCAAGTGGCTCAGTGCTCCCATGTCCATTGTCCAGTATCTCATTACGTCCGGTTGAACAGCAGACTGAGCATCCGGTATGTCACAAGGGATATCGGTATGGTGACTCGATGACGAACGTCACCAATACATGCAGCCGAAACACACTATCGGTGCTCTGTACCGGTCAGGGACTGACCTGTCCTTTCCTGGCCTGCTGGCCTGGCCTGTCCTGTTCTGCCCTGTCCTGTCCTGTCCTGTCCTGCCCTGCCCTGATGACCTGTCCTGACCTGTTCTTTCCTGCCTTAGACCGTTAAGACGAGCGAAGTTACTGACTGTTAAGAACGATACCAGATGGATGAAGATCAATGGTGCAGTTGTTTGATATTGACTGACAGCCTTTCCTCGTCGCTGGATCCTTTGAATCGCTGACCGCTGTGAACTGAACTTGTGTGTTGAATCGTTGAATTGACTGACAGACGCTCATGGAATGTCCGTTGTCATTCGTCAGAACCGTGAATTCCAGTTCAGAGGCGCCATCCGGTCGGAAACATTTCACGTCCTGTTCCGACTCTGCACGGGTCACCGAGCTTCTGGAAGTGAAGTACGATTTTCCTCGAAACGACACATGGCACTGACAGCTATTTTTATGCCATCACTCAGCTCGGAACAATGCAGTCGGCACTGGGTCTCCAGAACAGCGCCCTAAATCCACTTTCGCTCTTACGCATTGATTGCGCGGTGCTGAGCTAGGGCACTTCAGCGCTTACGAAGACCACCAAGGCTCCCTCCCTCCTAACCTCGGCCTCTTTGTTGTCCACTCCCTCCACGCGCGGAAGCCGTCTGCGTGAGTGGTCCGTCGTGCGGCCGGTGCGTGTCAGGCGCGTATCTGAGGCGGCGGTCGTCAGCGGCGCCGTACCGTCAATGATCCGAGGCACACCGATACCGACCGCCGCCGCTCGATAATGAGACTAATTACCGGCATGGCCGCGCTCCCTCATGAAAAGACGTCGACGGCAACGGCGGAGGCGCGCGGCGGCCGCTTTTGTGTGTCTCCCCGCGCCCGCGGGGCCCGAGCGACGCCCCGCAACTAATGATCGACAGTGGCGGCCGGATTTGGGCACGACTGCCCCCCCCATCGGTCCCGGTCCCCGCGATTGGTCCCCTCCCCCTTGGCGTCGACGACGGACCGACTTTGGCCGTCGGCGGCGGCTGGGCGCGGGTCGGAGGGGCGGACCGGCGGTGTGGGGATGATGACCCGTCCGGGGAGCGATTCCGGGCCGCGGTCGCCGCGCCGGGGGAGCGATTGGCGGTCGGATCGTGTCTGGGGCTCACTGGAGGATCGCCGGCCGCCAGCGCCGCCGGCCAACGCTGAAATGGAGATCAAACAGCTCGCCGGCGCTCTGTGACACCGGCAGACAGATGGGCGGCCGTATTGCAGACACGTCACCCGAAGAAGTATCGGCTCAGCGCGGCCGAAGACTGCGGCGACAGCCATGGTCGGCGGCATTCCAGCGAGGCAGAATTTCCTCGTTTGAAGTCAACCAGTGCAACATAAGTCATCGGCGGGCGGGCCGGCAGCGTGCCCTAATCGGGGCCTGGCGCCTACTGATCAGCGGCGGCGCGGAAAGGCGGTATCGATGGCCCGAGAATATATGGAGTGGGGCGTGCAAGTGTCATCGGAGCACCCGGCGGCAGAGCAGATCTCATGGATATTTCATCGAGCCGGAGCAGCCCAATCTCGCCACGCAGAATATTTTGCCGGTCGGCGCTTACCAACATCGAGCGAAAACATCAACGGGCTCGGGAATTCGCCGCTTTGATCAGCGCTCGTCTTTGATGGCGCGATGTGCGATGAAGTTTCCAACTGCTCGTAATACCGTGGCCGTACTCTTTGCACCGTTGATGCTCACATCAAAGAGCGGCGCGGTTGGCCGCCTGCGGCCATCGGTGACCTCTGTCGGTCGGGTCGTCAGCCCCAGCCGCCCTGCCCCAGCGTCCCGCAGCGGGTGCTGAAAGCGCCGCCGGCGCCCTCCCGCCGCGCCGGATTTTCCTAAGGGCCGTTCACGCGGCGCTGACTGCGACGGCCGATTTGCGGCGCCCGACACGGTTCGTTAGACGACTACACAGTACAAACTTGCAACCTCTGCAACTGCTAAACGCATTATGTCCGCGAATGCGGCGCAATCAGCGCCATTATTCGGTCCGGGGCTTGATCGGCTCCCGGGGCGCCCCGCGGCGAGCTGCCGAGGGGAGCGGACGAGGACCCGAGGGCTCCCGTCGCCAGTGGAGCGGGGAAACTGACGGCCATTAGTCGTCGCCGGTCGCCGCGCGGCGCACATGTTATAATTGCCGTAATCGCTGTCGGTTCCGACGACGGCGGCGACGGCGCTGTCTGGAGGGGCGGTCGGAGGTTCGTCTGCTGGGGATGGTTCGACCGGAGTCTGTCTGGCTCTGAGGGCCAGGAATCTGTGGCCGTCCGGCGCGGGGGTCCGGTCGACTCTCCCACCGGCAGAGACAGACCTTTCAACACCTCCTGCCGAGGCCGGACAGCACGTGCTCGGGGCTGCGCACCAGTCGAGCGCGGCCAGCCCATCTCGGCACCTAGCGTCACTGCACGCTCGACCTCCGAACGCAAACATGTCGATGCAACGCAGCACCTGCCGCGGCCGTCCGCGTATCAGCCCCGGCCGGACTGCGTTCACGGTTGACTGGCGGTTCACGGTCGCCGCCCCTTCGTCCGCGCACGAGTACACTGTTGCAGGACAAACCGCGGAGATTTCCAGAGTCGTCGGCTGGAGGCGGGGTGCGCGGTCGGTGGCGGAGTGGGTGCCGCTTTCGCACCCCGCTCGCACCTGCACCGCACCGCCGCCGGCACCACCACCGCTCCGCTGTCGCTCCCCAGTCCATCCACGCCGCCGGGCCACGCCCGCCGCGCACTAATGCGCCCATTTGACAAACGATCCCATAACTCAGACGAGAAATTACATTACGGTCATGAGCGCTTCACGCACGCGGCCCGGGCCCGTGTGATATCTTTCCTAATCTAAGTGCCAGTTTGCATGCGAGCCTATTTCTCGCGCGGCCGGCCGCCGTTGCCGACCCGACCAGCGGCAGTGAACATGTCAATGTGTGATTTGCTGCCATTGGCTTTCATGGCTCGGAAGCCCATCGCCGCTGTTATAAAACACTGACGAATACATTAAGACCGCACTAATGTCACTGCCAGCTATTAAAACCCGCTGGGCACGGGTCTGGCGGACGACCATTGAGCACCCAACAGGCTGCGAATGGGACGTTTCATCAGGAACGGCGGGACCCCACACGCCGCGCCAGAGCACCCTTCTCCAGCCCTAATCGAGCGCGGCTGGCGACCGATCCACACCACAACGTTCACCTCTCGTTGCATCGTGTCCGCTGACAGCTCGGCATGGTGCATCCTTTCCGGCGGCGGCAGACGGCTGTCGACTGTCGTGTCGTCACCTTGTACCTCTTCGTCCGGCGCCTTTCGGGGATGAACCGCACCCGTCGTCTGCTGCATGGTCCCACTCGTGCAAGCTCGTGGGCCATCCCGGAGCAGTCACATCCGGCCGTCTGCGGCTGGTCTGTTGGCGACCAGTGTCCCAGCGTCGGACAGTCCTTCCGTTCCTCTGTTATCGCGCGCCTGTGTTTATGCCAACCTGCGTGTTCATGCCGTCGACTGGCGGTCGTGGCTCTCGTGACCCGCCTACCGCGCCGGGTCGGGTTGGAGGGTGCCGGACATTATACCGCCGGACGTGTGAGAAACGGCCTGTCGTGCGCGCCGCGCCGCCGCCGTCGCCGCCGGTCCGTGCGCGCTGCATTGTTGTGTCGACGCCGACACCGTAAATCGCCACAATCGATGTCGGGTGTCAGTGGCAAATTACCGGCGACCTGGCTGCCGGCGGGGCCACTTACTGACGCCTGCTGCAGCGGCCCACACACCGGGAGCGGTGACGTTTATGTCTGTGTTCGAGAAAGTGGCGAGTTTGGAGCCGCGGATTCAACCTCGGGGTTTGTTATCGTTATTCGGATGTGTTGAGGAAATGTTAGCGCTGCTAAACATTTGGCACATGGGCACCTCTTCCTCTGCGGTCGATGTTGAACGATCTGGTACACGGATAGGAAGGAAGAGGTCAGAGCAGTTCGCGCATACCTGAAGTGGAATATCACAGTAACAGGACCAGGGGTGTTTCAAAGATGAAGCCCACCGGCCGCCGCGGTAAGGTACACAGATGAAAATACTTCTGTTGCCAAGATCGCCTTCCGCTCTTCTGCCTCGAGGCAGGCAGCGTTATGTAATGGACTGGTTCTGAAATGGGGCGAGCCGAGCCCCAGCAACACCTAGGCGGCATCAAAGTGACCGCTGCAAAACACTAAATGCATGGAGCTGGAACGTTAATGTGCGAGTGAACACGTGGAAAACACGTCCCGTTTTTCACTGACGCGAGGCAAGCTCGATTTACTCCCATTTTTTTGCACGGCCCTTCCGCCTCAGCGCCTCTTCAGCACATTTATGCTCTACGGCCGCCTCTTTTAGTCGAGCCGCTCGCAAAATCAATTATTCACCCTTCCTTCCGCATTCTTGCGTTTCCGTTCATCCTCGCACGAGCACTCGATGCTAAAACGAGTCATCGCTTTCATTGCCGCCGCCGCGGGTGTCATTTGTCCGTGTCTACCGCGATTTGTTGTGCATCGGTGCAGACTGCGCGCACCCAGTCATCATATCGACTTTGGATGGGCTCCGAGGGGGGCGTCGGAGGGGGCGTCGGAGCCGACGATCCTGGCGGGCGTCGGGCTCGACGATCGCACTCCGTCGCCGCCGACGGTATCGCTGCAGTCGTTTCCGTTCGCCGAAACTCGACAGCCGGCCGTCTGTCTGACAGATTCGCGTAGGATTGTCGCCGCTGAATCGAATTGTCGCCGTTATTGCTCGAGTGAAGAGCCGTTTTAGTTCGAGCGGCGGTGACCGGTCGACCAGGGCCGACCTCAGGGAGGAGATGTGAGGGGAAATGGGTACACTGACCCTCGGTACATGTATCTATCGACAGCAGTGAGTTCTGTGAAGACAGATCCCATTCTCTAGATATCGTAGGGGACTTAGCACACCATTCTATTGCTGCTTGCAACTGAAGTCGACCTGTGTCTCACAACACGATAGCAACGTTGCGCGCAGGCTGAGTGGGTTGTCCCCGTCCGTCTCATCAGCTAGCTGATATTTCCGCCGTGGTACAGCTGACAGTCTGCAGCCCACTCGTCCGACCACCTCTCATCAGCGCCGTCCTGGCATCAGCCGGGTCACCGTGATGATGATATTCGAGCAATGATAAATATACCGACCGGCGACAGAGGTGTAATTGCGCTGCGGGCGGCTGATCTGTGTTTGTTTCTCTGTCGCGCTGCTGGCCGTGAGACGTCACCGGACGTCCCTTCAAACCATGTGACCGGGCCGGGCCGGGGAGGGACGGGACGGGACCCAGCCGCAATGATAGTCCCCCGCGGTCAGCTGAGCTGGTGACCGGACGTCGTGGTCAGTTGGAGAGAGCCTCTCATCAGCCACTTCCTGACCGCAGGCGCGGCCGTCACGGCGACCTCCATCGCCGCTAATATTTGGACAGGATATCGGCGCTCACGGTTCGATACAAACACAGAGCGTGTACGGGCGGGTCGCAGACAAACAGGGAGGGGAGGCACGGCTGTGATGCCGACGCCACCTGTTCTGCCGACCGGAGTTTGGCGACGATAATCAACGTCGTGTCCAATCGACCGCCAGCGGAGCGAAATTGGAGCGGAATTGAAACTTGTTGATCCGCGAATCCGAGCCTGGCGTGGATTAACCCGATGGTGAGCTGTTTTGCAGCAATACAGTGATACGGAGCTCCGGACATTGCGGTGTTACTGTTATCTGCCTGTAAACAGCGATACTTTACCGGCCCTTGAAAGTTAAATCGGCACGGTATCGGGGACTATCAGACAGAGAGGGTATTAACACTTAACAGGGGCCCCATGCGTACTTGTAGACCCATGAATGCCCGACACATCATTTACAAATGGCAGACGATCTGTTAAATCGACGTTAGATTGATTAAACTTAAAATCAAATCAGGCACTCGATGGGGAAGGGTGACGATAGGTGCCAACTGCCAATACTTCAGAACTCTGATACCAATTGATACACCACTGCTCGTATGTAGATACCGCTGGCTGAAAACAGCTTCGAACCGGCACTCCTTTCTGCTCGGAGACCTCAGATCCCGCTGCACCGCCGCACCTGGCCTCTGCCGATTATGCGCCGCTAAACTCGACATCGACTAGCTCCGTCTGCCGATTTATGGGGTTACCGCAGCGACACTGCACCCGGCCAACGTTGACGTGACTCTCAACAACGTACTGTTACGCGCTGGGCATGCTAATCCGGGTCGGTGATGGGCCCAGGCAGCTACCTGAGGTCGGGGACCGCGGCGCCGCGCTGTGAGGAGGGTGTGGGCGGGAGGAGAGGTGTGCTGTGACAGGCAGCTACTGCAGAGGAGCCGTGGGACTGAGCACTGCGGCGGGGTGGGCGGAGAGGGCAGGTGTTGACTGGCCACGGTTAATGGTGGGATTCCTTTGATCAGAATGGGTCCCATCACGGCAAAGGTCAGTGAGATGTTCAACTCGCTGTCTTCTGCGGCGGAAATGGCTCCGGCGGGGCTCGGGGTCCGACGGGGGCGGCTCTTCCATCCTGAATCGCCGCGCCGATAGCCCCATCACGTCCGCAGAGGGCGTCTGGGAGGCTGGAAACTCGCCGCCGCACGAGCGGAGCGCGGCTAACGGGTCAGCTGGGAGCACCGCTCAGCACTCCTACACCATGCAATTTGTTCCATCAGATGAGCGACCGGTCGAGAGGGCGGGCCGGCCGGCCGACGACGGCGTGGCGACGGGTCGCTTTGTCGCGCCGCGCCGCCCGTCAGATCTGCCGCTGCCGTACGGCGCTCTGGCCAAACTCAGTGGGCAATTCGCGGGATGAATGTGGGCATTCGTGTGATTTGCATAGCGTCCGACCTGAGACCGTATTTTTGTGCCGGCTGCCTGTTTTATGGGCCGCTTATTTCACGAGGTCTGTCACGCGGTGCAGGGTCGTGTCACATAAAACAGCATAACGCCGGTGCCGGGGTGAGCCGCCCATGTCGGCTACCGTGACGCGTCGGGCCGCCTCTGCCGACAGCCCCTCGTCGCGCCGCATTATTACCGCTCTGCGCTCCTCTCCGCGCTCCCTCTCAGCCATCTCTCATCCTCGCCATTTTTGTGTTTTGCATCTGCTGATTCTTCATCGGGCGGTGATCGCCGTGCCCTCGCCCTCCTCGCGGCGCCACCATTCATCTCGATTTCTGCCGGCCGGTGGCTCTCGTCTGCCTTTCTTCTGTCGGCGAGGCGCTCCGCTCCCCCTCAGTCTTTTGCGGACGCCAGCATGCCCGAGGCGCGCTCCCTCCTCCGTCCATAAAAATAGCGGCCGGCACGGGACGCAGCAAACGGCAGAGATGGCATCGATGAGCGCATCGTGCGGCTCTAACTGCAGCTACCGAGAGCTGGCGACGGCTCCTGGTGAAACGACCGCCCTAAAACGACGTACGATCGCCACCAATTGACATCGCGATCGACGCTTCAAGCTGAGAGCGGCCATCAGTCTCGACGCTGGTCGTGCATGGCTGATGGTCGTTCGTTTGGCCACAGGAGTGATGTCGCATTTGTATCGCATTGTCCGGGCTTACTGCTAAGCTGGTCGTCCGTTCTCGGTGTCTGCGGTCCTTCGCAGCGATGACGTCACAACAATACGTAGGCTGATGTGTTTGCTATGCGGACGTCGGGCGCGATCACCATCACGCTCATAACTAGTGCTCTGCCGCGCCCGCTGACGCCCCCATCTTCCCTTTGTGCTGACCGCTGATCTGCTCTCTCCCTCTGCTGACCTGCTCTCTCCCTCTGTCCGCAGGTTGAGCTGACCATCAGAACGCTGCCGGCGCTGCCTCCCGGCGCAAAGTACCAGTGCATCTTCGGGGGCACGCCACCCACGGACGCGCGGGTCACCGCCACCGGCCTGTCGTGTCAGACGCCGCCGCCCGAGCTGCGGCCCGCCGTGCCGCCCGGAGCCGACCACGTGGCCGTGCCGCTCTCCGTGCGCTCCTCAGAGACCAACAAGGACTTTGTGTCGCGCGAGTTCTCCTACTACGACTGCGGCCGGCACGCCACGTGCGCCGACTGCGCCAGCTCGGCCTGGGCGTGCAACTGGTGTGTGTACGACAACATTTGCACGCACAACGCCACCTCCTGCCGTCGGACGGTCGTCTCCGGTGAAAACGTAAGCGTCATGCGACTTCTCGCAGAGGTGCGTCACGACTTACTCTGTCCGCCCGTCATTTTCATGTCCGTCTTGCCATGCTAGCTGTTGCAGCATTTACACAGAACGGCACTCGTCACCTCGTTGGAATTTCAGCGAAGTTTCAGAAAACTTGTAGTTTGCATGGCCTGCTTGAAAATTAGATGTCTTTATCTTGTAAACGTTTATCCTCGCGACATTTCACTCGCCAAGAGTCGACTGGGATTTACGTGGATTTGCTATTTTTCAGTCTGTCTCGCATGCAAGCGTCTGCCTGCAAGCCTGCCTCTTTGTGTCAGCGCTTATTGCATTTCCATTACTTTTTGCCACGCATCCACCACTCGATGGTCGTGTCTGCACGCTCTCACCATGTATGTCACCCTCGTATACCATCATTATGCATGCGTATTATTTATCTATTCCTGGTTCATTAATCTGCCGGTCGTCGGGATCACACACAGCGCTGGCGGCGATCCATTTGGCCGGCCGTCCTGGCTCGGACATATCCCATTTGCCGGCAGCCGAGGGGACGCGTCCGGTCGGTGGTGACGCTCACTTGCCCACCGACTGGGCATTGGCTACCCCCCATGATCGACCTCCCCCGACTGACCGCCGCGCGTCCGTCCGTGAGGTCCGACAGGGGTGGCCGGACCGCACGCCGAAAAAACCCGCTCCACCGCCGCCGCGTTGTTGTAATTCGGCCGTCGTGAGCCACCTCTGCTCGAGAACAGAGGCGTCGGTGCTGGCCAGCCGCGATTCCCATTGAAACGTGCTGCCGCCATTCTCGGGCGTTGGTTTCCGGCGATCAGAATCGTTCAGTCCATCAGAGTCGTTAGTTAACTTGCTCGGAACACGTTTCTGTGTTCGAGAGGCGGTTCGTGACTTTGTCGTGATTTAACGGATCATCAATCGTGACATCATGGACCACCACGGCTTCGTGACGCCCGGACCGGCCGGCGTCATCCTTGTGCACTTCCCCTGTTCTTCCTTTCCGTCCGTCCCGCTGCTCTTCGCTTCCGTTGTGAGGCTCCGTAGCACTCCGTCCTGCATCTCTCCGTTTTGTCCCGCCATATACCGTGCCTCTTCGTGTTTCTCTTCCCGTACCGTTCCGCCTCCGTGTGTTGCTGTGCCACCGCGCTGAGTCCGACGACTGTTTATCCGGGCTGGGGGTGTGGGATCCACACTGTCCGCCGGCGCCGCCGCCGGGTTGCATGCGGCCCGTCCCAGCCCTGATTACAGGGCGGTCACAGACACGCTGCGCCTCACCTCACCTCTGATGTCACTTACGGGGACAGTTTCAATTCGACCGGACGCCGTGAGCCGGCAGGTTAATATGGGAGCCGCGCTCAACGCCGAGTCAATCGCACCTCCGGTCGCGTCCAAAACGGCCCGAGCTGGGCTCTGCCTTCACGGCAGCAGCCGGCGCGGCCCGGTCCGAATTTCAAAGCAGCGGCCGAGTGTTTATCGACGGCCGTAAAAAGACGCCGCCGTCGCCGTCTCGAACGGAAACAGTGGACCGTTTCCGCGCCGCGAACTCTGCCTTCTGAGGTATCTGGGAAGTGTTTGATTCGGTAGCAATGCAGGGAGCGGTGACCCGCCGCCGACCGATCGCAATGATCGGTCTCTGTGCGCGTGGATCCGTGTCAGGTGGTGTGTAATTTTCCCGCCAGATGCCGCTGCCGGCGCCGGGAGATGAACGGTGCCCGCCGCTCCCCGCGCTCCCGTCGCTGGCCAGGGGAATGTATAATTCGTCTCGGCCTCCGGAAAACACTATCCCGCGCAGAATCCATCATAACTGGGGTAAATTATCACCGGGAATCATTACTCGGCGCGGCCATTAGGGTTAATACAGTGTCGCTTGCTCCTCCGCATCCCCAGCTCCCCTCGCGCGCGGTACTCCATGCTCAGGGGCCGCTCATCATCTCTCCCTCCATACCCCTCCGCTCAATAGGACCTCAGAGCTTCCGAGCATGTAAATTGACAACTTCTCCATCCCTGCGGCAGCTCGTCTCGCTGTTTCCAGCTCATATCTGGCTCGTCGGCGCCGCGGGAGTCCCAGTTCGCTGCTCTCCCTGATTCAGTCTTCTGTCTCCGTTAGTCCCCTCATTCCGTCTCCCGTCGCGCGGCTCAGTCTCCCTCCGCTCTGCCACCGTCCCCTCCTTGTCGCCGTCGCGCTCTCTCGCTCTCCCCGCTCGTCTGCACGCGCACAGCACGGCCGGCGACCGCAGCGCGCGGCACCGCTTCTCCGGCCGCGCCGCCACCCTGATAAATTACGCCCGGATTAAGATTCGTTGATTGGCTGGGGCGCGCACCATGCCGCCCTCCTGGAAGTGGCTCTCGTCGTCCGTGGAAGCACGGCTCCCCTCGTGCGATGAAGAGCGGCCGCTCCGTCCCGCTGCTCCGGGGCGCGTTTTTCTGCTCCAGGCGAAATGGAACTCCGACGTGACCTGAGTCGTATAGAAAGAAAGACGCCGCGATGCGCCCCCAGTCGAGCTCCCCTCCCCACCGGGAGACGAGCTCCGTCGAGCCGTTTTCATTTGCATTAGTTTCGTTCCGTTTGCTGTCGGAATTGTCGGTTTGTAGCCGAGGTGAATATTTTCTCGTATTTTCCACTCATTTGCTGGCTAAGTTTCGCGGAATAGCGTGTCGCCGAATTTGTCAAATTATCACGGTCTGTATGAGCGCGGGGCCGGGGTGCACCTCCATTAGAGCCTGGCTGGGCTCTCGCCCTCCCCAGTCCCGGTCCCGAACCCTCCCCGGTGGACACATAACGAAGATAGAGCGGCGACAGAGATTTAGCAACAATGAATCGACGAAAGGAAGGCAATTATTAGATTAGCTCTAGCAGAATTAATAGCGCACTCAGCATCTGTCAGCCGGCACTTCCTAACAGCTTTGTCAGAATTGATCCAACACGCCAGCAGGCAGCATTACAAACATATGCATGCAAAAGCAGACTTTTCAGACACGTATCCACGACTTGCATCATCAATTTTTGGAGAAAAATAAATAACCGAATGCCTGAACGAGGTCGTTACACGATGCTGCATAAAAATAACACCCCGATAAGACACTGATAACATGGTTACAGCAATTCATGCACCGATAATTCGCATACCACCACCATGCTTCAGGCCGAGCGTGTGATCCGTTCACGAAACAGCAACGTGGCACGTATGACTTCAGCAAGCGTGGACCTGAAAACGGCGCCCATTAGTGTCATCCTAAGCGGGTCGAGCGATCGGTCACCGCTGCAGTGCGCAGTGGTCGCCAAACACTGGCGATCTCTGCAGGCGGGCGAATTTCGCCGCTCGCGTGACCAGGTCGGTTTGGGGCGACACGCCGCGCTCCGACACTGAAAGGCGCTGAGAAATGAACTCTTTCAATCATCGCATTTTGCCAGTGACAGCTGGGAGCGAGTTCGAGCGACTCGGCCGGTCGGCGGCGGTGTCGGCGGCGGCGGCTCCCCTCCCGCTCCCTTCGCTCGCTAATGGTGGCCGGCGCGGCGGTGTGTGCGCCCCGCCGACCCCCCGGCGTGCCGAGCGGGGTCGCCGCCGCTCCCAGTCGGCCCTGTAATCAGGCTGTTTCCGGCTGTTTGGTTGCCACTCGGCCGTCTCCCTCAGTTTCCCCAGTTCGGAGGCGGTCCCCGAGTTGAGGGACTCACTGGATGAAGGTGCCTCTATAATGTACCGGTCCCTCGGGTACAGTACCACCACGGGGTACCGGCCCCGGGTGTGACTGTGGACACCACTCCGTACCAGTCCCATGGGTCTGATACCGCCGTCACCACAGTGTCGCATTCATGGCGTCGTCAGGATTTTGTCCCGTTTTGGCGATAAATTCGCCCACCGCTGACACGCCGACCATAAAAAGGCGATTATCGCGAATGAAAGCGGCTCCGATGCGAATGGCTCCGATCGACTGCCAGGCCGGGGCAGGAGGGATGGAGGGGGAGGGCTCACCACAGACGGGCCTACGCAGTCGCCCGTCCCGACACAGCATACGCTATGCTGAATTGCCGCGTGGCAATGTCGTATTGCTGGTGGTGACGCAACGGTCCGGTCCACACACTCCGAGCTGACATCGCTGGGTGATTGATTGCCGGGATAGGGCGGGCTAGAGCCACCCGGGACACGACGTCGACGTTTCACGATCATTGACCGGGCGCGCCGAGTGCCCAGGCCCGTCCTTGGACTGATGTTCCGTGCAGGGTACTCGCCCGGTAGCGACACCCGTCACCATCACCTGACGTCACCCTGGACCGCCTGTCTCATGTCCTTCGCGGTCCCCGCTGTTCCGGAGACTGTCTATCATTGTAATCGCTCGGGTAGTGCTGTGTGCCCTGCGCAGCCTGTATGATGTCTTCTGTTGATGACCAGCCCTGTTCACTGTTGACACGAGCATGTCGGTGACGCTGAGAAGTCGCAGAATGTCGCAGAAGCTGAGAAGTCGCAGAAGGTCATGCATGCTGTTTGGTTCGCACAAGACGTAGCATGTTACGCTTCCAGGTGGTTGGATTTAAGACGATCTCTGGAGCTTTGTGTAACTGATGTTATACTAATACCGCTTCAACCTTCTTCAAATCTAACAGATACTCGTATAACTTGCCACTTGTTCTATCAGCTACTAATATTAGCTCTGCTGCTCTGTTTTCATGTTGCTCCTCAAAGGGTCTTTTCGACATTTCTAACCATGACACTGATGCCAGCTCCTGTGATAAATGTCGTACGTCTCCCCTTAAATGTACACTTACCTCCCATCCACGACCCACCCGCTCTTCAGACTTCCTTCTCTCCTCTTCCCTCACTGACCCCACTTCCCGTCTCTAACTGACCCTCTCCCGTCTCTCTCCACGCAGAACCCGGCTCGTCTCATCACACACGGCGCCGCCTTCTGCCCGCGTTTCAAGCCCAAGTCGACGCCGACCCTGCTGCCGAACGGCCAGCGAAGTCAGGTCGTTCTCGAGGCGGAGAACCTGCCGCGACCAGAGCCTGGACATGCCGCCTTCCACTGCATCGTCGACATCGAGGGCGCCAAGATGCGCGTGCCGGCTCGCGTCGAGAGCGGCCAGTTCGTTGTCTGCGAGAAGACGACCTACTCCTACCAGGCCGATGAACGGGAGATCTCTGCCAAACTGACAGTCGTCTGGGACGGCGATCATCTTGTGGACGCCACCAACATCACGCTCTACAAGTGCGGCGTGCTGGGCAGCCACCGCGGCCACGCCGACTGCTCGCTGTGCGTCACCCGCGACGCGCGCTACAAGTGCGCCTGGTGTGACGGCACGTGCTCGCACAGCGCTGACTGTCGTCAGAGGCCAATGCTCGAGTGTCCCAAGCCGCGCATCGACCTGGTGAGTAGCGAACGTCGTCTGCGTGCGCGCCGCCCGCGCGCGACGTCGCGTCGAGACCCATCTATGCTGATCTAACGCTGATCTATGCTGATGTGGCGCTGATATACGCTGATGTGTGCCGAGCTGCTCCGGTCGGCGCCGCGCTCGGTCGGCGGCTCGGCGTATCGCCGCGGATCTGCGCGGCTGGCCCGGTGGTCGGGAGGGTGGACCGGTTTTTGTGCGTGGCTCGCGCCGCTGCCGAGTGGCTCCGTCTCCTCTGTGCAGATTCCAGTCATGTCGCAGTCGAGCTTGCTTGCTCTGCTCAGCTCTCGAGAGATGAGAACTGATAGGAACTGAGCAAGCGTGAATGGGCATCGAGCATGCCGAGGCATTCATCCCTCGGTGCAGCTTGAATGGAATATCATTCCTCTTTCGGAGAACATCGTAACCTAGAGCGGCTCGCCCGCTGACATGCTTGCCATTGGATCATCAGTCACGCTGCCTCTTCTATTTTATTAAAACATTTTAGCATAGACGACATTCCCCTGCCATTCATAAAGATACAGCGCACAAAAAAGCGATACCACCATCATTTTGGAGGGCGTCGCCCGCAGCCTCAGCCAAGAACGGGGCAGCTGCGGCGGCCCGTCGTTACATATTGACGTCCGATCGGCGCCACCGATTTCCATACTGTTTACGACACGCGGCCACTTGTTTAGTCAATAGCCGTCGAATCTCATATGGCAGCCTACAAATCAGCGCGGCTGCCATATCCGAGCCGTTTGAAGTGCAAATGGTGGTGGGGCGGCGCGGCAGCTGCCCGGCCGGATGGCGTGTCGCAGCCGTGTGAACCGGTAATTACCCCTGCGACACGTCGCTTTAGTCGTGTTTTCGTGTATCGCTCATACAGAGGGCCGGTTTTTACCGGCGATCAGTGCGTCGATTGCGTCGCGGCCTTTTTCGGGGGCGGGCGATAGGATCGTGCGCTGAGGTGGGTCTCTGGCGGCGACCCGGCCCGTCCGCCGCGCCGGGAGGGCGCCGCTCCGTCCCCGGGGATAGCCATACTCAGCGTCCCATTAGGGTCGCGACGTGTCTCGACTGAAGGAATGCGAACGACATCGATTTATTGGGGTACCTATGGTCGTCCCTCGTTTCCGGACCGTTATAGTGACGCAATGGCGTCGCTTAGTTACGTCAGCGACTCAGTGTTTTTCGCCTGCGCTTGCTTATTTATTCATTATAACCTGCAATAACGTCGCCTCAAGTGTATTCATCGCGCACGGCGTTTCAATTCGAACACGTGTTCTACGTCTGGTGTTATCTCGAGTCGGCCGTGTGTTCCAGCTCACCCTGCCCTATAATCAGATACGCGCCGTACCGGTGACCCTGCGCTGACCTCTGACCTTTGACATGTGACCCGCGTCTGACCCACACCCGGCACCCGGCAGATCTACCCGCTGAGCGGACCCGTCGAGGGCGGCACCCTGCTCACCATCGAGGGATCCAACCTGGGTCGCAGCGCCGAGGACGTGCGAGACAGGATCCGCGTGGGCGGCGTGCCGTGCACCCTGGTCGAGTACCAAGTGTCGGTGCGCATCGTCTGCCGCACCGGCGCCGCGCCGCACCCCATGAACGTCGCCGTCGCTGTCGGCAACGACGCCGGCTTCGACGAGTCGGCCGTCAAGTACAGCTACCACGACATCCAGCTGTTCGACGTGCACCCGCGCATCGGCCCGGAGAGTGGCGGTACGCGCCTCACCCTCTCCGGCGGCCACCTGACGGTCGGGTCGCGAGTGCGCGTCTGGCTGGACCACCTCCCGTGCGCGGTCACCCAGGGGCCGGGCCAGCTGAGCTGCGTGACCGCACCTTCGGACGGCACGCGCTCCGTGCGCACACTGACCCTGCAGATTGACGCCGCCAACCGGACGCTAGTCGGAAACCCGTTCAACTACACCAGTGACCCGGGGGTGCAGGAGATAAAACCGCTGCGATCGCCCGAGTCTGGGGGACGCCTCATCATGGTGCACGGAACGAACCTGGATGCCATCCAGAAGCCGCTCATGACTGTCTTCCTAGACGACCAGGAGCAGCCTCTCAACGTCACGGTACGTAGCACAAGGGATTGTGGGGCCGTCAGCCTACCACAGCCGGTCGTCCAGGCGATGAAGATTAATTCCAGACCATAGGTCATGAGTTCGATTCTATTAGACGGAAACTTTCACTGCCTATCGCACATTTTGCTCTCGTTGATGTCGATTTATCGTAGCGCTATCAGCATGCATGCATTCACGATCGGCACGGTCCGTTTTAGTGCTGGTCCGATGCAAGTGCCCTGTCTCGGGTATCCGGAGCGAGGCTCGTGATTTATCGGGCCACGTCGGCCGGCTTAAACCGCGGCTAATCATCGGTCCGACGCCATCTTGCCTGATTAGCGCCGACCGGGCCCTGATTTATATTCTCTCGCGGATGAGCAGACTGCAGCCTAAGTAACTCGGCCTGATGGCCGCCAGATGAATAATGCCCGCCCCGCTTATGATACCATATGCTCGGATATATCGAGCGCGCCTATCGACTTCATGCAGCCTTTGAGCCCACATGACACGCTCGTGTTCCGTCGGCCGTCTATCAGGCGTGTCGGGCGCGCTGCCAGCCGGTTCGGCGTCTCATCCCTCCCCTGCCCTCCCCCAGGTCTGCCGCGTGCTCAGCAACACCCAGATGCAGTGCCCGTCGCCTCCCGTTGACCCGCGCGCCGTGAGAGGTCTCGGGTGGCAGCGGCGCAGCCCCGACAAGCCTCCATCCAAGTTCGCCCGCTCGCCACGGCCGCCCAACGACGACGTTCTCAGTCTCAACATCGGCTTTGTCATGGACGACGTCGCGAGTGTGCGCAACCTAAAGCAGCACCGCGCTCCGATGAACAGCGTCCTGCTCTACGTCCAAGATCCGGTAGTCATGCCGTTTCCGGGCCGCGTCAAGCTCTACAAGGGCGACACTCTCGTCATCGAGGGCCAGAACCTGAACCTGGCCGCTGACGAGAGTGACATCCGGGTCCTCATCGGCACCCACTCCTGCAACGTCACCTCCCTGGCGCTTAGCCAGCTAGTGTGCAGTCCCCCGGCCGTCCAGCCGCCGGGGACAGACGACCTGGGCCGGCAGACTCCCGAGGGCGTGCCCCTGGTGGTGGTCAGGGTCGGCGAAAACCTCCGCTTCCCGCTCGGCCTGCTGCGCTATGAGATGATCAAGCCGTACACGTTCCCGCCGGAGGTGGTCGGAGGGATCGCCGCCTCGGGCGTGTTCCTCGTGCTGCTGTCCGTCGTCATACTGGTGGTGTACCGGCGCAAGTCGACACAGGCAGAGCGCGAGTACAAGAGGATCCAGATCCAGATGGACACGCTCGAGAGCAATGTGCGCATGGAGTGTAAACAAGGTGAGACGAACAACGAGATAATAAGGGAGTTCTTAGTATGCCTGTCATGCTGTTTAAGGACATGTTGCTCTTATTAGCTAGGCTAAAACCTGTTTGACTGTTTGCTTCCTGACGTTTCAATCATTGTGAAAGGATAACAGTCCGAGCTAGTGAATGCATAACAGTCCGAGTTACACTGCAATCGTTTTCAATAGCAAAGCAATCAACGTGAAAACTACGACCCCAACGAATGCCCATAATGCACAGGCACACTAACGCTAACTTTGTCTAGCTACGTAGTCTGCAACTACATTTCGGGCCGGCAGTCCCTGACTGGCCGTCCGAGGGCCAAACTTTGTGGCCGTCGGGTGTTTTTGGATCGTGGTCAGGATCGGCTCGACTGAGAACATGTTTACTGAGGAAACGCCAGGCCGTGCAGACTGCTCGTCGCCGCCAATCGTTCTCAGAGTGATCCAGCCTTCGGTAAAACTAACCCGCCTTGCTCCGACAGCGTTCGCCGAACTTCAGACGGACATTACGGACCTCACGGCCGACCTCGAGTCGACCGGCATCCCCATCTTCGACCACCGCACGTTCGTCATGAAGGTGTTCTTCCCGGGGGTGACCGACCACCCGATCCTGGGCGACCCCAAGGTAAGAGCTCCTCCGCCCTCGCCACCGCTGCCGCCCCATGGCGAACTCGATCGTCTGTTGTTATGCCGAGTATTTTTATCGAGGCCCAAGGGAACGTCGGCGTCGGGTATCGATTAAGACTCCCTTTGACGAAGCTGTGGCGTTCTTTCAAGCCGACGGGCGTGTCAATTATGTCTGAGCGTGCTCACGGGGCCGAATGTGTGTAAACAGCCGCGGTCGGTTTTTATGGTCTCGGCTTTGATCGCGATTGGCGCCCGTCACGGTTTTCGCCCGAGTCTGACAGCCACTCCCCTCCCCGGCAGCTGCGACTGAACGGCACGCGCACCAACTTCGACACGGCCATGCAGCAGTTCGAGCAGCTCATCAACAACCGCTACTTCCTGCTTACCTTCATCGAGGTTCTCGAGTCTCAGAAGTCCTTCAGCATCCGTGACAAGGTCAACGTGGCCTCCCTGCTCATGGTCATCCTGATGTCCCAGATGGAGTACGCCACGGAGATCCTTCGCCTCCTGCTGCTGAGGCTCATCGACAAGTCCATCAACTCCAAGTACCCGCAGCTTATGCTGCGCCGCACTGAGAGCGTGGTAGAGAAGTTCCTCACCAACTGGATGGCGCTCTGTCTGTACGACCACCTGCGCAGTGAGTCTGCCGCCAGTCTGTTCCTGCTGACGGCCGCCATCAAACACCAGGTGGAGAAGGGGCCCGTGGACGCCCTGACGCACGACGCGCGCTACTCGCTGTCGGAGGAGCGCCTGCTGCGAGAGCAGATCCCACACAGCATTGTGGTGAGTACGAACGGAACGAGTGGGGAGTAGGGGAACCGGGAAGACCGGGTCAATGTAGGGTGACAAAGGTAGGGTGAGGGGACGGGCTAGCGTTCGGTGTTTGATCAGCTGACTTGACTGCCACTTGGGTGTGATATGAATCAGTTATCAAGTCCGACTCCTTCGAGTGGTTTGTTTTCCCGTCGGATTATCAGTTCGTGTGTGTACACACTTGTGGATAATGGGTGTGCCTACGTTCACAGAGCGTTTACATACCACATGCCTGCGCGGGCTTTGTATTGCCAACCCTCGCTGATGTAATGATAGCTGTTTACCGCACGCTGCTCACTGCAGTAGCGTGCATTGTGCGTCCTTTGTGCCTCCGTGCGCCGTCTGCAGGGGCTGACGGGTAGCGCGTCCTTCCGCGCCTCTGTCTCCCCTCTCGCTCTTCATCACCGCTCGGCTCTGCACGCGCCGTATGAGCGTCACGTCTTCCCGCTTCCCCGGCGACGGCGCTGCATATTTCACATTGCAACGCGTCTTTGCGCATTGACAAGTCCCTTTACAAGTGTCACGCCCAGTGAGATTAGATTAGTTGGTCGATTTGGTCTGAAGCACTGGGTTTTTAATGTTCACCAAGTCACGTTGCTTTTCTCTTCAGCCCTTAACTCAATGTCGTCACTAGCAAGGCCTCGTCTAACATGTTAACTGGGGGGGCCAAACCCCCGCAGTCATCGGCCTGGCCCCCCCAGTCAGGGCAAAAAGTCACTACTGGGGGGGCCGGCAATAGCCAAAAGGCAAACGAATTTTTAGTTCAAGGTGTCAGTGCACATAAAAGCAAATGTGTAAACGAAACATGGATGCAATGTGAGCACATTGGTACCTACCCGATTACTTAGGCCTGTTATCAATTGTTTATTTTGTTTACCTGACCTTAACCATTTTTGTCGCTCAGCAATATGTTACATGTCGTCTTTTCAGGCGCCCAATTCCGTGTCTCGGATATTCTTTTTTTTATAAATTTAGTACGAATCTTTTGAATGGAAGGATTCACAAGGACAGAGCCCCCGCTAAGCAGAGCTTGTTGCGTTGGCCCTGCCCTCTATCCTCCGACCGCGCAATTCCTGATCTATGGTAGAATTTAGAGCCCAAAGTTTTACGTATGCACATGGCCGCGCACGGCCGGTCCCCTCACTGACTTCGACTGGTTACGGGCTGCTTCTAATTGTAATGAAGCAGGATCCCGTGGTGTTCGTACGTAGGCGCAGATTGGTGGTCTGTCTCACCGATAAGTGTGATTATTACTGTCTGGGCCCGATTTCACCAAGTGAATATATTCTTGGTGTACTTTGGAAAAGTACACCGACAAAGTACGACGATAATACTATTCGGTTTCGCCACAGGAATATATTCAGTACGCCCGCTTTACGTACTTTGAGAGCCACCGGCGCGCATGCATATATCTTTTCTTGTCGGGGACATGCAGTCACTATATTTTTCCGTATTTAAAGTCGACGAGCTTAAATGCTCAGATATACAATATTATGGAAAAAAATTTCTAGCTACGCTAATAAGAATTAAATTTGCTGATCATACAAGAGGAAGTACCTAAACAAATATTGCTAATAATGCTCTTGATTTTTGCTGGGAGCATGACATTCCAAAGCCAAAAATGTAAACAATCGGCAGCAAGCCGCGCAGCACAGTTGACGTTACTGGCGTGTGTGGGTTTTATTGGATTTTGAATTGATATTAATTTTTTCTTCCAAGTTACTTCTCATAAGATAGTGCTTCAATATTTGTTCACAACTTCTACGCAATTCTGGAGTGGTTCAAAGCAAATATAAATAAAGTCGAACAAGAAATGGCATTACTTGAGGCACCTATCTTATATCTAACTACCGATCACTGATGGTAGCAAGGAGCACGGCCGACTAGCCGACAAGTTATCTGAAATATTACCTGAATCAAGTTTTTAAATAATCGAAGGGTCTACCGACGACTTCAAATATGGAGAATATTTCGGAATCATTCTCTAAACCTAAACGGAAGCGGGAAGCCGGTGATAAACTGAATCATTTGGCCACAACACAAGAGAAATATGGACATTGGACAGCATATGGATACTGCAAAGAAATAGTAAAAGTGGGCGATGAAAACGAATGTAATGAAGCGTTGTGACTTGTGATGCAACATGCTGGGCATGTCAATCAAGGCGTTGCTAGACTGGACTTCAGTTCTTCCTCTCGCCCTCGCTAGCTATTTACTTTCTCTTCGGTAAAACGCTGTATAAAGAGCACGGTGTAATAATCACGGTGAGAAAGATTTGAAACGCTTTTGGCCTTTTGTGTTATCAAAATACAATGTGAACTGTCGTTTTTTTTTTTTTTTGGAAGTGGAAAACTCAATAATGTAATCGGGAATGCGAATGAAAAAGGGAATTCCCTGTTGTGTTTCTGCATGATGGGGTGATTTTAATCGCAGTGATGCCACGATGAGATAAGCCTTATATAAAAATAGCTGTTCTGGGGTTTAATTTCAATATAAGCCCTGACACACGATACCCTAGGTATATATCCAGCAAGAAATAACCATTATGACCTCTAAAACTTTTTGCGTAGCCAGTGGCATGTTTTTATCATACGTTGCATCGATAAAGTCATTAAATTTGTAACATTATCATACAAAAAATTGATGTATGCCAAGCTGTTTCTCAAAGTATGCCACAAAAAGTAGCATACTTTCAATGCCAGCAAACTCGGCAAACAGCTGTTGAAAAAGCAGATCGGCGTACCAGAAGCAGACTTGTGATCAGCTCAGTTGAGCCGGCTCAAAAATCAGCTCAGCTCATGAGCCGGCTCAACATTTTGCCAAATTGTTGAGCTGTGAGCTGAGCCGGCTCTGTAATGCATTGAGCTGAGCTGCTGTCTGAGCTGAGCTGAATGAGCTTGAGCTGAGCTGAGCTGAATGAGCTTGAGCTGAGCTGAGCTGAGCTGAGCTGAGCTGAGCGAGCTGAGCTGAGCTGATTGAGCTGAGCGAGCTGAGCTGAGCTGAGCTGAGCTGAGCTGAGCTGATTGAGCTGAGCTGAGCTGATTGAGCTGAGCTGAGCTGAGCTGAGCTGATTGAGCTGAGCTGAGCTGAGCTGAGCTGAGCTGAGCTGATTGAGCTGAGCTGATTTAGCTGAGCTGAGCTGATCCAGTTCTAATTCTTTTCAGTTCATGCTTGGAAATTAACTCAGGATTTGATGCTTCAGCTATGAGCTAGCTATGGAGTGAGCAATTACACTGCCTTCGTGATCACACTTAAAAATATCAAAACTCTAAAGAAATCAATATTAATCACTAATCAAGCTTAATTTATTTCATCCATGTTGCATGGAAATTGGAAGACCAGGGTCTTGGCCAATTTACAGGCTAATACAGCCAGTCTCAAGTTTCAAGTCTGACTGCAAGATGAATACCTACTGTCAGGCTTTGATGCTTCGCCTTGACACTCTGCTCCGCAATGTACAATTCAGCATTCTTCACTTTGTTATTTAAGCAGTTATTTAAATTGATTTTATCGATAAGGGTTCTTACCTCTGCATAAAATATTTACAATTAGGAATTAGCAAATGTTCCTCTTCGTTGGTTGAATGTGGGCTAAGCAACCATATCCTATTGAAAGTGGGGTGGGGCAGAGGCGCTAACTGGAACTCTCACCTTCTGATGTCCATAATATGGGAAAAGCTCCCTTATTCACACGCCGACTATGAATTCTAATTGTGTTGACATTGCCTTGGTTGAGATCAGGGTGGTGTTTGGTTTCACTCAAGGTTTCACTGATAACAGCACGCTGCTATCACACGTGTCAAATGGGGTTTCCATGGAGATATAAACAAACTCTTATCTCCAAGTTCCAACACTACCCCAAAATGTAACGTCAGCTCCTGGCAGGGTGCCAAGAGCGGATGGCGGCGTGGGCGTGCTGCTCTCGGCCGTGAAACACCGCCTAGTTGAGATGATTCCATGGCGTTTTTTTCGTCTAGCAGATTTTCGTCCGACTTTTCTTCGTCTGGCATTTTTTCGTCTGTACATTTTTTCGTCTGTAAACTTTTTCGTCCAGACTTTTTTCGTTCGTATATTTTGAACTTATATGTTATGTTAACATCGCGGGTGCACACTCTGATAACATGTGATAACACTGCCAAGAACAGTCCATTTCATGTAACTATAGTCTGAGTCCAAGTAGACGCACGACTCGCAAAGTCTCAAGGTCTTAATGAGCTTATCTCTTTTGCCCATTGTGTAAGTTGCCTCGCTCCTTGTTAGAGGAGACTTACTTATGCGCCAAGAGTTGGTCTGTTTTTTAACCCTCGCCCGTATTGGTGTTTTTCCAGCCGCGAACGTATAAGGGGGCGGGGGTCCGTTGGACCCCCCCTTGCCGTTTCGTCCCTGATCGAGCTAGAGCTTCGCGGAAAAAACGAGCGTGCTGCCCGCGACGAGAGGAAGCCGATGATACCCAATTTTAAGGTCCTAGGTTATCGGTTGACCTTCCAGGTCAGGTCAATGACCCAAAAGTCGGGAAAATCGGGACCTGTTAGAACGTCGTAAAACGTGGCTGCTATGGGGTTTTTCGGGGTGCTGATCACGAATATCATGTTAGTTATGATCACTGATGATGTCTTTATGCATTGAGGCCAGGTCGGGTCAGGTCAGGTCAACCAGTAAGGATTTTGCCGGGTATTCGTAGTAGCCTCTGACAGCTTCGTAACATGTTACGAAGGCACCAAAACTGCTTCGTAAATGTTCAAATGGTTGCTAAATTCGAATTCAGCTCCAAAAACTAGCCTAGAAACATGTAAAACTCGAAAAAGTGAACCGAGGTCATCAAAGGTCAATGACCTGACCTGACCTTCCGGTGACCTTGACACCCACCCTAATGCATGGGAGCAACATCATATGCCATGTTTGAACACTTGAAACCACAAAAAGACTGCTAACGCGCGGCTAATGCGAGCCGACATACGCCGAATCGCGATTCCGGCCAAACATGGTCTCGAAAAGTAGGTCACAGGTCAAAGGTCATTAGGGTCAGGGTCATGAAATTTTCAGGATAGGTGTAAAATTGATTATCGCGAGGGTACTGAAAGTTTCGTCGCGATCGGCCGCTTTTTACGCGAGTTATTCGCGAAAAACAGAGGGGGGTCCGTTCGACCCCCCCCCCCCTATACGGGCGAGGGTTAAGCATGTCCGATTTAAAAAGAACGACTGAGCGATCTAAGCGTGAATTTAACTGAGCGGAAACTGAGCTAAGCTGAATTGAGCGGAAACTGAGCTGAGCTGAACGGGAACTGAGCTGAGCTGAGCTGAGCGGAAACTGAGCTGAGCTGAGCGGAAACTGAGCTGAGCTGAGCGGAAACTGAGCTGAGCTGAGCGGAAACTGAGCTGAGCGGAAACTGAGCTGAGCTGAGCTGAGCGGAAACTGAGCTGAGCTGAGCTGAGCGGAAGCTGAGCTGAGCTGAGCTGAGCGGAAACTGAGCTGAGCTAAGCTGAGCGGAAACTGAGCTGAGCTGAGCTGAGCGGAAACTGAGCTGAGCTGAGCTGAGCGTGAGCGGAGCACAGCCGGTTTGAGCGGAGCGTGAGCTGAGCTGAGCCGTGTTAAACTGAGCGGGAGCTGAGCGGGAGCGGATAAAACGGAGTTGAGCTGAGCGAGCTCACTTTTTTCTTGAGCTGTCACAAGTCTGACCAGAAGTACCTCAAACGTAATAGTATGCCAAAAAACGACGGACTTCTGCAGTCATACTTTGTCTTTGTCTTGAATAAGTATCCCTGTACGGAGTTTGGTGAAACTGAATATGTCATAATATGCCAAAAGTGAATATGTACGCCGCCGTAATGGAATATATTCACTTGGTGAAATCGGGCCCTGGTGGGGCAATGTGAGGAGGCTTCAAACTAATATAAAAGCATGGGTCGGATGGCCTATTATTTTTTCTTTAGTTTCAAAAAAAAAAAAATCATGGTGTCAGGGCTGTGATGAAAAATAAAGGCCTGGCTACACTGTGCGTTTTCTGCGTGCGTTTTTTGCGTGTTTGCGGGTTTTGCGTAATATCGTTCTAGAAAAATAAACGATATTACGCTTTTGTGATGTTTTTTATATTCAATTGTTGTTAATATAAGAGTTATATTAACTTCTGCATATAACTAATGTAAAAATTATATTATTTTTTACTTTTTTCTAGAAGGATATTAGGCAAAAAACGCAAACCCGCAAAAAACGCACGCAGAAAACGCATAGTGTAGCCAGGCCTTAAGTGGTCTAAATCCGGTGAGAAAACAGGATTTGGGGGTACCCTAGGTTTGGCTCCTTCAGGCTCTGGCCCCCCAGTGAAAATTCCTTAGACGAGGCCCTGGTCACTAGTGAACGTTCCATTCACAAGCGACCTTCAGCAGCTGACTGGGCAGAACTGCTTTATAAAAGCGTGTCGGTATCTATAAAGAGTTGGACTAATATCGTCCCTGTAGCACCAGAGCAGAAAAAAAAATGCAATGAAAAACTAAATAAAGAAACTCCAAGTCACGTCCTGGACCGACAGTAAAAATGTCTCTAATACCTTGCTATGGCAACACTGCTGAAATAGCCCCAGTTGGTGCAGTCTTGTAGCGGACGAACGACTAAAACGGCTTAATCTCTCGCTGTTCGGATGGCCTCGGAATGGGCGGATGAACTGTGTCGTTCTCTCTGTGTTCTGGTCCGGTTAAACCGTCTGTGCAGGAGAACAAGGGAAATCTCAGTCATAAAGTACAGTTTTAACATATGTCTGACGCCCCGGGGTTCCTAGCTTACCGAAATCTCCGGTCATTCCGGAGGAAATTGCGTGTGTCGCCGTGTTCCCCGCCCCTTTATCCTGCCGTTTTTACCTGCTTCCTCCTGTCTGACGGAGGAGATACGGCCACTTTTGACGGGATAATCCGTAATCACACGATCGGAACAGCGGTATTCGGTTGCCACTGTGGAGCGGCTGCTCGTGGGACTGGGGGGTGGGGGTGGAGGGGGTGAGCCCTGCGGGAGCTGGCAGTGTCCAGCCGACTAGCTCAGCCCAGTCGGCAGCCTTGTCCTGTCCTGTACCGTTCCGGTGCCTGTGTAGTGTATCGCCCCTGTCCCCGCTCTGCCAATACATTGTACGGACCCACAGACCCCACTGACAACACGACCCGCCATGTCCGAGCCGAGCCGTTCGATAGAGTTCTTTTAACCAATCTGGGACATACATTCCTGCGGGGATTTGTCGGCGCGGCGGCATTTCGTGAACATCACGCAAGAGTCGCACCCAGCCTTGAGTTGTCACAGCGCTGGAGAATGAGAATGCCGGCTGGCATCATTTAGTAGCCAACCAGCATGCAGGCAGAAAAAGTACGCGTCCTACTGTCCGCAATTAAAATGGAGAGATTTACGACCCAATTAATTAACGAGCGTGGTTTTGTCTTTCCAGACGATACACCTCGTCCAAGAGGACCCACACTACGAAAAAATACCCTACCAGACGTATCAGGTAAGATTTGTCGTGTTCAACTATGATGCATGTGCACTCTTACATAATATTTTTAGGATGATCGATGGATTAGTTTGTTCAGCATTCCTGAAAGCCGTTATTTCATGACGGGTCTTATGACAAGACCGCTTCAAAAGAACCGCTAGAAAATAAAAGCGCAGTCGTTTTAATCGAGTTTGTGCAATCGGTGAACCTTTTCCGGCGCCTGCCGACCATTCCGAGCTTTCTACTGACCTCCTCGACTTGCCCAATGGTCTCTCTGACCTGCTGGGTGACCAACGCGACCTCAAAATGACCTCTCTGACCTGCTCACTGACCTCTCTAACCTGTCCGCTGCTCCGTCTGATCTGCCTGATAACATCTCTGATCTGTCCCTCTACCCCTCAGACTCTGCAGATCGCCTCTGAAGAGCTAATGGAGGAGAAGATCCAGTGTCGCGTGCTCGACTGCGACACCATCAGCCAGGTCAAATCCAAGATCCTGGACGCCCTGTACAAGAACACGCCGCACTCGCTGCGGCCGTCCATTCACGAGGTGGACCTCGGTGAGTGCCAGCACGCGCCGGCCACGGGCGCCGGCAGCGGCCCTCCTGCATGTTTGATCAGAGCCTTGTCCATATTAGACGCCGGCTGAGTTGAGCGACGTTATCAGCCGGGCGTGTCCCGATGAGCCGGCTGGAAACTGACCTTCCCGCTTTGTCCGCAGAGTGGCGCCACGGTCGCGGCGGCCACCTCACCCTGGCCGATGAGGATCTCACGAGTAAAATGGTGGACGGATGGCGGCGCATCAACACACTGGCGCATTATGGCGTCAAGGACTCAGCTGTGATGTCTCTGGTGCCGCGTCAGGGCGCCGAGGTGTCGCCGACCGCCCGCAGTCCCTGTGAGTCCGCGGTGATGACGTCACCCGTGCCGTGTCCGCGCTGAGTCGCCGCGACAGGCGACACGTCGCCCTGACGTGATCCCAGTGTCGGCACCGGCCGCAGAGCGAACCTGTTCCCTGGCCGTTTTGTACTGAACGTATTACAAGGTTATTTACATACCTCAGAATAACCTCAGCGTGTCGTCCTAAATGGCTCGTCGCGCTGGTGACTTTGACTCTTTAAGGCGCGACGTGTTTTTGGTTTTGTCAAATAACCAAGCTTTTTTCTGCCAAGACTGGCATGAAAGACCCCTCCGTCTGACGCTCTCATCTCTTCTGTTTCAGACACGAGTGTATACTCGATACCAACATCGCTGTCGCCCTCCCAGAACGGCACCATTCGAAAGGTGAACGCCTTCCACCTGGTGAAGCCGGCCTGCGAGTACGCTAGCCAGCGCAGCGAGCGGTCGCACAAGGCCATCCCGGAGATTTTCCTCACCCGACTGCTCTCCACCAAAGGGACCATCCAGAAGTTCGTCGACGATCTCCTAGCGACGATTCTAAACGCAGGCGAGACGCTGCCACCGGCCATCAAATGGCTGTTCGATCTGTTTGACGAGGCCGCGCGCATACACGCCGTGCCCAACACCGATGAGGTGGTGTATGCGTGGAAGTCGAATTCGCTGCCGCTGCGATTCTGGGTCAACTTCATCAAGAACCCCGACTTCCTGTTTGACATCGACAAGTCGGTGACGGTCGACTCGAGTCTGACGGTGATCGCGCAGACCTTCATGGACGCGTGTTCGACGTCCGAGCACCGGCTCGGCAAGGACTCACCGTCCAACAAGCTTCTCTTCGCCAAGGACCTGCCGCACTACCGGTCTCAGGTCGAGAGGTTCTACCGCGACATCAACGACCTGCCGACGGTGACCGACCAGGAGCTCAACTCACACATGCAGAGGCTCTCTATGGTACACGGCGGGCAGTTCGACGTCATCGCCGCGCTCAAGGAGCTCTACATCTACGTCACCAAGTACCGGGATGATGTGATGAAGGCGCTGGACTCTGACGAGCACTGTCGCCGCCTCCATCTGCCGCATAAACTGGAGAACGTTCAGAGTACGATGGAGGGCGAGGAGACGTCCATGTGCTAGCCCGGGCTGTGAGCGGTGGGGTGCGGTCACAGGCGGCCCTCTCCGTGATGGGGATGGCCGGACCGTCTCTGTACCGGCGGCCGGTCCCGGGCGGCAGCCGCCCCTCAGTCCAGTGTCTGATTTAGTCCAGTGTCCGACCGGGACACGCGTGTTCTGTCCTCGCGGCGTCTCTCGTAGTGCCTGTGTGCCGGTAGACGAGCACACTGGCACCGCCTGGGGCCATTCCAGTTGCAGAAATCGCCAAAATGAACGTGTACAGATTTTATAAGCTGTGATATATTTGATTGCCGGACGCTACGGCGTCTCGGCTGTGTGTCTGTGTGTGAGCAGCAAGTGTTCCTCTGTCGTCCGTGTCTTGTGTCTCTTGCCAACTGCAATGCCAAATACGCAGAGCGGCGTGTCTCGCAGGGCGCAGAGAGGGCGTGCTAGACTGCTAGTGATATATCCGCTCCGGGACGCCGCGCTGACTGTGGTGAGAGCCCGCCGGGCGGTGGCGCGCGCCGTCCGTAGAGGCGATTGTGACGCGCTGTTGACGTTCTCAGCTGTGTGGGCACGGCCGAGTGTGGCGGCCGCTGGCGCAACTAGTCCTTATCCTGTGTGTTGGCGCCCATCACTCGTGTACTTAAGTCTAGGCATTTTATATTTTGTAAGCCGTGCAGGACTGATAGGTTGGTTATATGCTGCAATGTTTTCTCGTACTGTGCATTGATTTTGTACAAAATGATATTTATAAAATGTAAATAAACTTGATGCGTAACACAGCGACTCTGAGGAGCAATGGAGGTAGCCACGGCCGCATGGTTTAAGAATGCTTTTAACGGATTAATTTATGCACCGTACTTAGGGCTTTGCTTGAGCTCCTTAGCGATGAGGCAGCGCCATCATTGGTCAAGCTAAAAGGTTGAGCTTTGAATGGCGAACCAATCCCGAGTCTCGACTTACACAAAAGCATATCACGTAAACCCCAAAACCGGGCTCACGAGGTCGTACATTTCCACATCTGCCGAAGCTGCTCTATCCCCTGTGCAGCCATTCAGACTCTCCGACTCGACAGGGACGGCAGTCCGCCTGCCCGTGCCGCCGGCCGCCCGCGAGGTGGTCTGTTCACAGCACAGGCGCTATTTACGGCGACACGGGTCCACCGATCAGCAGGGCGGTCCCGGCCGCGGCGCTCCATCCGTCCCGGATCGGCGCAGCGGCGACAGATACGGCCGGATTAGCTGCCGCCGTCGACTCCCCGTGTTGCTGTCCGACCCGGCCGCAAGTTCCAGCCGCCACGCCGCCAACTACAACTACAAGTTCTACAACGAGTGTTGCTGTCCGGCCCAGCCGCCAGTTCGCACCGCCGCCGCACCGCGGCAGCACCGCCGCCGGCGGCCACCTGCCGGATTTCCTCTATTCACGCCATTATGGGTGCAATCCGATCTTGATAAGGCCCTCGTCCAATTAAGCCGTGCCCGGTGGCGTAGGCTCCGCCCCCAACGCCACCCATCACGGAACCCAGCTGGTAAATGTGCGGTTGGTAAAAAGGCCCGGCGTGACATGGAGGACTAAGTGTAAGGTGTGTGCGGTGCCATGCGAAATCATTTATGAATACATCCAACCCAACTGGACGTGCGAAATGTCACATGCCTGCAGCACGTATGTGTAAATGAATAAACGAGGACAAAGACGGGCACCTCACGAATTACCTACACAGTTCACCCGACACCCGTCCAAGTCTGAACGGCACAGACGTCGGACATTGCTTTGCTTAGGGATAAAACAACCACAAAAGCTCTATGACGACATATCCCGTCTTAATTGATGTGTTACCTTGACCTTTGATCAAGGGTTTCTACTTCAGACAGGAAAAAGTTGAAGCGGCGGCGGTGTCTTGATCAATTGATTAGCATGTCAGGTGGATGTTACGAGCACAAATGCGCTTGGCATTGTACGGAATTCGATCGCCCTTTACTCGGGAGCGCTCCTTGTCCGATACGTCTTCCTTTGGTGACATGTTTGATGCTGCTCTCACAAAAACGCAATGTTTGAAATGCTCATCTACTGTTTGAGTGTCAGCTCCTGTGAAAGCCTTAATTCCATCTGCCAATCTGCATATTGACCACTGTCATGATAGGCTCGTTCCCACCGTTTATCCTGTACGACAATAACTCCCGGCCCGCGGCGGCGGCGGGGTCCAGTTTTTGTCGTCCCCATTCGTCCGACATGTCGCCCGCAGACGTGTCATCTGACCACTGACAGCCACTGACAGCTCGGAGAGGTTTTGTTTTCTCCGCTATCTGACGGGCTGATAACAAACTGGACGGCGGAAGCGTCCCCGGACAAACAAAAACGGCGACTGGCGCGGCCTTGGCGGGCCCTGGGAGCCGGCCGCGGTCGGGGCACGCTTGGGACACACCGGGGACAGGTCGGGCGGCTGGGGAGTCACGTCGACACTGACAGTGGAGACGGGCCTTATCGAGGTGCAGAGTGGTGCGACCTCGTGTTTCGATACCACAATCGGTGTGGAAAAGGGTTGGAAAAGACAATGGGTGGGATACAGAGCTGAAAGAGACAAGGGGAGACGAGAACCTGGAAGAGACGGTCACCGGAAAAGACTGAGGAAATGAACAAAGACCCTTTCAAAAAAGTTCGATTGCAAAGCGTTTTAATTTGTCTAATTTTAGAAACATTCACCGACATAGGCGGCGGAACGGGGAGGGCACCGGGGCACCGTGCCCCCCTTTGATTTTGGCATTTTAACCATTAGCCCTATGGGCGTTGCATGGAAAGAATGGGACCAAAAGTCGGCAGTGCCCCCCCCCCCCCCCCCTTAATTGAAGGTGTTCCGCCGCTACTGTTCACCGATCGTTTGAATGTCAGACGCCGGCAAATGGTAAATGGCCATCTGCCCATATGGAGATTTGGTTACCTACCTTCTACATCCTACATCGAGTCCAGAGGAGTCGACGGATCACAAAGATGATCATAAGTCACGCACGAAGTAAAGCGTAACTAATGCACTTAACTAAAGCTTTCAGTAACCATTAATTTGTTGTGGTTAGCAATATCTTTAAAGAAATGCTTAGAGTCCATCTGCATACAATTCCAATTCTCATTGCTCAAGCCGTCGAATCCACAATCTGCACGTCTATGTGAGACTGCGTGCGCGTCAAATCACCGTGTCGAATTTTAAGTATGTCCAGCGATTCCAAAACCAGCTGTATCATCACGAAATCAGAGCGTTGCGGATTTCGAACGGCAGCTAATGACGTCTGATGCTCAAAGTGATACCGGGGCTTCCACCCATGTGTGTGTGGGGGGATGGGGGGAGGATGGTGCTTGGTGTTCGGGCGAGGAGATGCGGCTGAGCATTCTGTGTCTGTTTCGCCACGTGCACAGGTTTATTGGTTCACGTTAGTTGATACTTGCTGCTGGAATTTAAATTTTACAACGGGTCTGGGAGGAATGTCGAATTCCTACCGTCAAACCACTGAACTATTTTGACACCTTTTATGCTCAAAGTCATATGCAGCTGAAATCTGAATCACCTTATGAGGTACCTTTAAGAATTATCTTTGATCATCCAGATAAGAAGTTAAACACATCTGAAAGCGAGCATGCTACCTTCCGCGTTGTACCAAAAATTCAATGTTACTTTTTCCGAATTTTAGGGTTTTGAATCAGCAGGTGACTTCACAGGTCAGGTTGGTGACCCTTAAGTGGGGTATTGTGTTTTTATACAAATGGGACGAAATGACCGTAAAGCACAAATATCGGTGCGAAAACTGAGGTATTATCGTACCTACGTTTCGGTAAAAGCTTTATAACAGATTTAGGCGTTTGAAACAGAAGATCACGAACACATTGTGGTTGATTTAATATGCAGATACATAACATGCACAGCTGAAGCATGCAAGCCTTAACAATCTCTTAGATTTACTTTCTTTTCATGCGGAAATAACTAACTTTGTTATCGTACTTTAAACCTTCCAATAGCTTCTGCTTCTTACGGAGCATGCTCGTTGCCATACACGCTCGTGCTCAGTAAAAATTAAGTTCGACTTACTTTTTACAATTTCCTTTTTACATGTGTAAGAGACGAGATATGTTTCGCTAGAAGCCATAAATTATTAACGTTATCATTCCTGACCAAGTTAAATCAACGCATGTGCGAATGTGATATCAAATTAACCCGTGCATGACTTAGGGTAAATTTCGACGCCCAGCTATAGCCTTGTGCTAGCGGGGATGCAAAATTAAAAAAAGCGAGTGACGGGGTTCAAAATTACTGGTCCGACTTCCATGATTGATATTGGGTGTAGACTTCCACCGGCGTCCAACTAGCGTCTAACTGAACAGACCAATTTGGCGTCTAACTTGGCGTCTAACTGTCGGACGGAGAGTTCCAAGCAAGACGCGTCTGTTAGCTGTCGCCAGATAGACGCAGCCACCGTCCAGCTAGACGCGTCTAAGACTTAGACGACGCGTCTAGCTAGACGCGAAATGGAGGTCTCCACCCATTGTCTTTGAAAGCCACCGAAAAACAATTAGGAACGAAACGTTATTGTGCTGAACACAAGGTCACTGACGACGTTACAGGCTAGATCAAAGTAGAATTATTAACATTTAGGCATGCCTACGCTTCAGGCTCTGGCGGTCGTTAAACAGGCCGCACTGAGCTCATTTATATTATATCCACATTCCACGCATAGCTAAAACATTGTAAATATAACCTGCGGGTACCGAGCTCGATATGTTTGAGATCAAAGCTGAAAGCTAACTCATGTTAGGTCATAAAATTTAACAGAAATTCAATGGCGTAGTTGGGTCGTGTGACATATGCTTTATCGCACATTTTGTCCAAACAAATAAAGAAAATGGTTCTATCTGCGCCATCTACCTTCGCTTCATCTGTGTTCATATCATATCATGCAAAGAAATTAGTGCCAGGACAAAGTGGGCTCGTACAGTCACATCTTTAGGGGGTCGAACTGTCCGCTTGATTTTATGAAAAAAATCGGCGTATTATATTGCCTTGTTAAATTCGCTGTCTAGAATACCTATACATATTGTCAGTGCTGAGAAAGCCCTGGTATAGCAGCCCTGCATTGGTCTGTAAGAAAACGAAAAAAAACTATTTAGAGGAAGGCTGAATGGAGAGGCAAGAGACGCATCTATTACAGTTTTTACTCGTATCTGTACCGAGACAACATCTGGGAAAGTAACCGAAATTCACTCATAAAGACGTGTCATTGTACTTTTAAATATGTAGACTGTCAAAACTTGTCCACAATAAAGGAAAGTATGATCCTTGCATATCGTTGTATGCATCGTTAAAATATGGACATTACTGAATGTAAGCGAATCGACAACTACGAGGCATCACATGACCTGGCATTGAGCAGTGGTTTGAAGCCCATCCTCTTCATGCGTATTTCTCATTGAGTATTGCGGGCGGCGGGGTTACCGTGGCACATCAACCAGAGGCACGACCCATGCAGTGCCCGCCCCGCACTCCCAATTCACCCATACCTACCGTACCCACCCATTCCATACCCAGTGTCCGATATCCATGACCCAATCTGGTTCCAAACAAGTGTTTCACCCATACCTATATCGGACCCTGGTCGTATTCTACCCAGTGCCGTACCCGACCGGGTCGTTCTGTCGTTCTCCGTCGTACCTGTCGACTGCTGTCGCCGCCCACCGTCCCGGCATTACCCTGCACACGCTCCCTGTGTCCAGCTATCAGATGTCCGATATGGCCTCGCTAC